GTAAACATTATTATGTGGATTTTCAATATGCATTTTCCAAAAAACAATAAAACTGCCTACCAACATAATCAAAATGAACAGGTAATCATATGATCTTCCAACCATGAATGTATAGCAGATGATCATAACTAATTCATATGTTAGGAAAATTGCTAAACTTCTACCAGACTTCTTAGATTGAGGTTCTTTAGGTAGATATCTTGGTTCATAATAAATCATAGCAAAAGTAACACAAAATAGATAGAATATAACAATACCCAAAATGGAAACAATACCATGTACTATATGCACTCCTTACCAGCAAGTAACATCAATGAAAATTTAGTTTACTTTATCTCCGTTCTCATCTGTTGTGCAAGCAATCAAAGAAAAAAATAGATCCATGATTGGCATGTAGAGAATTGAGAGGAACATTTGAATCAAAATTCTCAAAATGTATATTGGCCATGTAAATGCTGATTTCAATCTATAGCTTAGAAAGAAGATCAACATGAATGCAAACACTACCAAACCCAAGCAGACATACATCATAGCAACAAGGGCTGGAAATGACAGCATTTGAAAGTAAGGAACTAGCATCGAATATCTTGTTAGCTTATTTAACATTACCCAAATATCTTATTAAGCCATTCGCTTACTTCAAAAGTCTACCAGATTTTCCATGTTTGACGATTGAAAATGATGTAAGTCACTTAAAAGAACTGAATGATGATGGCTAGTAAATTGAGAACGATTGATTGTTCTTCCTCCTTCAAGAGCTGTTGAGTCACTTTGAAATATATCAATTTGACTTCGTTTTGAATTTTGTCTATTGCTGATTTATCCTAATCCAGAGAAGATTTGCCACCAAAGTTAGACTTTAATTCCATTATATTTGATAATAATAATTTAAAATATGTCTAACGAAATTATTTTAGAGACAGTACGTGAATTACTCCCAGACATTGAGAAAGAGATACGAGAACAAGTAAGCCAGGAATTGCAAATGGAATATCAAATTAAATTTCAATAAGAAATAGATTCATTGTCCCAATTTAACGAGGAACAAATAAGAGCCGAATTAGAAAAGCAAATAAGAATTGACTATGAACAATAGAAGGAACAATTGGCTCAAGACGTCATTCGTGAATTTGATGATTCTCTTCAAAGAGGTTAATTGGAGCAATAATTAAGATTCAAAATTTAAGAGGAGTTGGAAGAGTAAATTAATGATGAGGTTTCAAAAAAATCCAAATAAATCAGATTGTAGTATAAGAAAAAGCTTGAGTAAGAGAAAAATCAATTGTAGAAGGATTTTGAGTTAGAATGGAAACAAAGAGTTGAGGCTGAGAAAAAAAGATTGGAAAGAGAAAAAAGTGAAATCGCAAGATTGAAGTCAGTGGAATATGTAAAACTGAAAAAATTACAAGATGAATAAAAAAAGCATGGTTAATTATTAAAAGATTAAGAAACTAAATATTAAGATATTATGAAATCCCTTCAAAAATAAATATAAGAGTTGACTCAATAATTAGAGATAGCTTTATAAGATTAAATTGTCTAAGAAAAATTGAGAAGTTAATAAGAAAATTTTGATAGCTTTGATTAAGATAAATTAATGAACTTTCCACTTTAAAAATAAGAATAGATTTAAAATCATAAATCCATTCCAATTTACCAACATAAATAAATTACAGAAGATGAATCACAAGAGTCTTCATAAACATAAGTGAATTTACATAATCGTAAATAAAAACACAATTCACACAAAGCTGATTAATAGGAACAACAGAATTAACAAAAATCAAAGAATCCAAATAAGAAGTAGCAAACATAATATTAAAATTAATTGGAAAAAGGAGTTAAACAATAGAAAGGTCTTGTGGAAATATCAAAACCTTAATACTTTGAATAAGAAAATAATTAAAAATAAATGAATCGAATAGATACAATAATAAAATAATATGATGAAATTCCAGTTTAAAAAGAACAATTCATGAGTTACAACAGTTTATTTAAAGAAAGTGACCTAGATAATAGTAAAAATAAATAAATGAAATCAAGAAGATAAAAATTTGTAGAGAATTAAGAGCTAGATTAGAGACTTCAGACTAAATATTTAGGAATGTAAATCAATATCATGAATGACTTTATAGTTGATTATGTTGGTAAGATATTTTATTGATATTTATTAGAATTTCCTGAATATCATTAAGTTAAAATGTTGCTCTAGGAAATCATTGAATTATTTAATTAATGGATGATTAGTTATTAAGAGAGAATTGAATTTTTCAAAAGGATTAAATAGATTGCAAATTCAAATTTTAGAGATATTATTCCATTCATACAAACATAAATCCATAAATTTAAACTAATCTAAAACTATTATTCCGATTTCTAGAAAAGATTCAATCTTAAGAATTAGATAATGGCTAATTATAGCTAATTTAGTAAATGTAAATGCTTATTTGATTAATTAAATTAATTAAATTTGAAATCTATTAATTTATCAGTATTAGGATGTGACTTCTAGGAAATGGTACAACTTGACTAATGGGAAAAAGACTTTTTAGAGAGAGAAGAACTAAAGTCATAAATTTTGTGTAAAATATAATCTAAATTAATATGACTTTATTTTATTTTATAAATTTATTTGTTAATATAACTAAATAATTTTGATTTGGTTTGAATGAAAAAAAAATTGATCAATAGAACTAGCTTAATTTGACTAACATAATATATTTAAAAAAATGATAATGATGATACTATAGTTCTCGATATAATAAATATAGTCTGATATCCTGATTCCATAATATTATATTTGCATTTCGCTCTGCATCTTTTCAATTTTTTAGAATAAACTGAGAGTAAATGATTAGAATAGCAGAATAGATAGTATAGATTATGTTGACTCAATGGTTTATGATATTTTGATTTTTATATGAATTTTCTTCCAAAATAGTTGTCCTTAAATTGAATAAATACTTATTTCATTTAATGATCTACATGTAAACTTATATTTCATTTATTAATTGCTAGTGTCAAAGTGTGTAGAAATATCAGAAAGAATCATACTATCATCTCTATCCTTCTAATCATGGTATCAACGTCAAATTTTAATTTACCTTTTTAATCATATCTGCTTTCTAATCAATTTTAATTAAATTCAAAACAAACCAACAAATCTTGTATGTTTAGCCATCAAGTGTGATAGAGCATTTTCTAGAACTTGATTTTACAGTATTTTTATATATATTAATGTTAATTTAAAAAAATATCTTAAAATTTCTTCATCTTGTGAAAAAATTTCCTTTATTATTCCTCGAGTATCCGGGATTGGTGCTTTTTGAATGATAATCGTTAATAATGTATGGTAATTTACCTACACCTGGAAGGTTAGAACTAAATTAGTACTAATGATTACTGATTTGCTTCATATTTCTTTAACACTTTTAATCTCTTCAAACTTTACACTTGCTCAAGTAATTCAGCTTTCTTTAAGAAAATGTCACTGTCTCTTATAAGATCTTCAACAATGTGATTATGCACAGTGGTTTTAGGTATAGAACTAGTTCTTTCATCATATAGTAAACTTTCCTTAAATTATTTCAGGCTGATGGTTTTCTTGAATTATGTTTCAGTTTATTTTTCGATTTAAGGTAGAGTTTCTTGCTTTTCCTGCTAAGGAGTAATTTCCTGAGGTAATTGAACATGTTTTTCTTCTTAATGTACAGGTTCAGGCAGTCTTTGAGTTTTGTGTCCCCAAAATCGATCAATCATTGATTTATGTGGGATTTACTTATCCTTTTCAATCAAATCTAGAACTCTAGTAGAATCTTATGTTAATCGAACATAATATTTATTATTGATTGATAATGGATCATCTCTGTAACGGGTGGTATTAGCAATTTTCTAATGAATCAATTTATAGTTTTTAGATGACATTTTTATTAATTAATAATTAATTTTTGATGGGTTAAATTTCATAAAGACGTAGATAGGAGGTAGAGTTAAGAAAAGGTTAATGGGATTTAAATAATATTGATATCATAATAGGATAAGTTAGAATCATATTAATTGATTTTCCACCCACAATTTATATGCTGAAAATAAGATAAGAGATATAAATTTACAAGACTCATACTTATTCAATTATGATGAAATAGAAATAATCTCTAGATAGAAATAAGAATAATATATTTATCTTTAGCACTTAAAATTTTTTGGACATTTTCAACTACCTTCAAGAAGTGATTATCAGATTAGATTGGTTTGGTAATTTGATAAGTTCTTGTTTATAATTAATTATTTGCTTATGGTATTAGAAGTGAGTGACCTGTATCTATTCAGATGTAGAACTATTTTAATATTCAATAATTCAAATATGTTCTTGAAATTTGCATTAATAAATTGTTAAATTTAGTCTCAATTTCTTATTTGAATATTCACCAAATGAAATACTAAGTATTTAATACACCTATTGAAATAGGATTGTAATTGTTAAAAACATTTTATAATTAAAACAATAACCTAATTTTTGAATTGAATCTTCTAAGAACAAGTTGTTATGAGGTTTTTAAATATTGGGTATTATTTATGTTTATTATAGATCATATTATTTCAATGGAATATGAAACCGTGTTCATTACCTTTGAGTGCATGCTATATTTTAGGTTGAACACATGCTTCAACACATGTCACCAAATCTCTATATGGATACATCTAGTTAGAGAATATTTGTTAAATGTACACAATTCTTCTCAGGATCAGCATTTTTCAATGATAAGAATGCTTTTACGCATCTGTCGTATTTATCATCATACCATTTACATTATGGTCTGCAGTATTAAATTAATAAATCTTTTGGATCTTTTCCTTATTCTAACATTGTCTTTATAGCAGATGGGTAGTTTTCATTAATTTTCCCTTCTCCAAAATTAACTTAATTAGACATTTTTTCTCAAAAAATTAATTTAATTAATATCTTTTTTCTTATTATATTATATAATTAAAATTTTATCTCAATAGACAAACCTGGTTGATATTTCCAGATAATCCATTTGATCTGCCACCTTGTAAAGAAAATCTAAATCTTCTTTAAAATCTTTATCGATTTCCTGTCTTCTTGCTAAAGCAGAGTAAAAGAATGGTAGAGAGAGCCCAATAAAAATGAATAAAATGGACTAAAGTTAATGATACAAATGTAATACATTAGCAATACGCTTTTGCATCTGCCTTTTCAATTATCTCATCTCGTCAGTATCATTCTTTTTTTATTACCACTATTAATTTATACCTTTGATATATTCCTTAACTTATTAGGCATAGCCAATCTGATGTGCTTTGAAAAAGAAGATTTTCCATTTGTTTTCTTTTGCAATTATGAATTCATCCTAAGCCTTGTGTTCCTTTGTCATTTGTCTAGCAACAACATTCTCATAAACTTTGACTTCTTCTGGATTAATTTTTAGAGGTTCCTACATAAATTTTCTAAAATCCTCCTCAACAGTCTTCTCTTCAGTTGCCTCCTTATATTCCTTTTTTGTAAATGTGAAATTGATTCCGTCCTTGGTTTGTTAGGCTGTGTATTCATTCTTCTATGTATTTTCTTCGGATTCACTGCTTTGAGACCGTTCCTAATTCGCAAAGGCTCTTTCCTTAAATATGGTTTGATCATATGATTGCCGTTTTTCTGGAGTTTTTAGTGTGTTGTAGGCTTCCTAAATGAGCTTGAATCTAAAATGATATTTAAATCTTACCTATTGGCATCATTTCCCTTGTAAACATCAGGATGATAGATTTTGGCCAGTTTCAGATAGTTTTGTTTGATCTGTTTCTAGGTGCATGTTGCATTGAGTTCAAGAATAGTGTAATAGTTTATTTATTATGTACTAAACCTATATATAATTTTTATCATAATTATCTTTAACTTTTCACTATCTATGTATAAAATCTTATAAAATCTTCCTCTGTAATTTCTTTGCCATCCCCAGAAATCACCTTCATAATTTCATTCAAGTCTTCCTCTTTGAGATGATAGTGATCCAACTCTTAAGCCAGTCTCTTTAGGTCTTCCAAAGTGATTGCCCCTTTCGCAGTTAGAGTTGTAAACAATTGTTTTAATTATTCCTCTTGTTGTGCCTCGCCCTATAATAATCGCTCTTCATATTTACTATGCACTGCAAATAAAGCTTCAAGAAATTGATAAAGTTTAGGTCCTCATCAACCAGAATCATTTTTGATAATACATTCGAAAATAGAGTGGATTCTTCATTCACTCTCAAAAGAGTATTTTAGGCTTCAACGTCTTTTGTCTGCATATCACTTAAATATCATACTCTTATTGTAAATGTACGCTGACTAGCAAATAAAAGAAATAAATCCATCATTTAGTTGACTTGGGTTTCTGTTAATCGTTATAAATCCTTCTCCTTTTTCCAACTCTTCACTTGATCTTCCCTATACTTTTATAGTTCTAGTTATTCTACTAAATATGATACCCTAAGGAGTTGCTTTCTTGTAAATTAACATTTAATAAAAATATCTAATATTTATACATATTAAAATCAACTATCCTATTCAATTATAACATGATCATAAATAATCAATGTGTTGGTGTTAGAAAACATATGAACAATGAATGGAGTAAAGAAGATCTTGGAAAATTTAATTATGTTGGCAGGTTTATCAATAGAAAATGATATGATTTAGATAAATTATATAAATCATTCATGAATTTGTGCTACTAATATGCAAGAATTATTGATTATTGAAAATATTATAACTTCTGCATTAAATTAGGTATTTCTTATATAAGGAAATATTCCTTTTTGATCAGAATATTCTAGAAAAAAATAAATCAAAAGCGAAATAAAGAATTTTGAATATTTTATAATAAGTATTCTCCAAATAATCAATAATTCTATTTTTTATTAAAACAATGGATTAATATATCATATTACTTTTAGAAATAGTATTGACAACTAATACAATCATTCTTAGTTATTGATTTAGATAGGCTTAATTACATGGAGTAGTTATTATAATTATTATAGACACTAGTCATAAAATTCAGTGATTATATTGGTTAATGCGTAGTACTATAATGATAATTTTTGCAATAATATAAATTAGTATTTCAAGTGTCAAATGTTGACCATGATGGATATAACAATATCTTCTACATGTTATTAGAGATTAATGGTATAGTGGATAATTTAATTACAATTTGCCACTTAATAATACACTTATTCCAGCATTAACGCTATTCTTCATATGATATTTACATTACTTATGATGCAAATTGTGCTGATCTGGTCAGGGATTATTTGGGTAATGCAATTGGAACGTTTTTGATTTTTCTCTTTATTTTTTTAGTTTCCATAATATATCTATTGAATTATTAAATACCAATTTCAGAAATAAACAAAGATTAATTTAATATAGTTGAGATTTAGTATAAAATTTTATCTAAACAAAGAAATTGTAGATGAAATTTCAATAAAAAACTAAAAAGTTACTTAAATCTAAAAAAGTAGGAGACTTATTAAAGAAAAAACCTTAATATCATATTTTAATGAATAATAAAAATGCATTAATTTATTATTAAGTTTAATTAATTAATCTATTAAATTATTTTTATAATCTGAAAATAAAATTTTTGTGGTTTTTGTTTTTCCATAAATACTCTTATACACTTGCTCAAATTTACATTTATTATTAAACTAGAAATTACAATTTTATAAAACTAAAATTAATAATTTTATATTTTGAAATTAAAGTGGATTTTAGAGAAATGATGCTATTATATAATATATAAATATGAAAAATCAATTAATCAATCCAATTTTTTTGTCACAGCAGCTAAAAAATATTTTTTTTAAGATTAAGACATAGGAAAGCGTCTTGAAGAACGTGCAGTTTCTACAAGATTTATCATTTTATTAGGAGACATTGCTTATTTTTAAGGAGTCTCATATTCACTTCCATCATCAAATTGCACATTTTTTGATGTCATTAATTCATTAAACTCCTTGAGTAATATTTGCATTATAGTTTTCATTTTGTTTAAGTATTTTTATTTTTTTTATTTTACTTTTTATTTTTCATCTTGTAAGAGTTCAGCAGTTTTAGAATAATGTTTGTGAATTTTTGGGGCCTCCTAATAAAATTTAACTAATTAATTAAGTTCATTGTGATTCAAAGAAGGTAATTCATTTTAGATTGTTAATTTGAATGGATCAAGCTCATTGTTCATGTTTTGTTACAATTAAGTGCAATTATCTTATACCTTTGTCATATCACTATCGATTTGAGACTTTAAATCGCCTTTGATGGATGAGAATCTTGACTTAATGCAATCAATGCAATTTTCTAATTCAAAATCGATTTGGCTATCCAAATCCCTTTAAGGAGAGCCTGTCACTTTTTGGAATTCAATTTATGAAATTTATTCGATAGATTGGCTTACCTGCTCCTTAAATTGAGTAGTTGTTTTTCTAATATGAGTTATATGATCATCGAGAAAACAATCAGCACAACCTTAATTAAATTACAAGAAATACCTATTTTTTTGGGAACACAACAAGTGGGATCCACACATATATATTTTAGACGTTAAGAATCGTGATTGGGATTTTAGCAAACAGAGATATCCATTAATTTTAATATAGTAATCACGCGCCAATATATTCGCGGTAATTATATTCAAATTGAGTATTTTTCATCCAATCAAATAAAACCCAAAGTGTCTTACATATTGCTGATATTCTTCTCACAAAATAAGTGTAATTATCCATCAACCTATTGAATCAGGATATGTTCCACGCTTAAAGCATTAAATAGTGTCCTATTAGGTATAAGGATGCGATTAGAGAATTATAAAAATTAATTAAAATACAAGTGTTTTTTTTAACCTATAAATTTAATTACACCTTTTAATGATCATTTATATTTTTATAAGAAAGAACTGTCAAAATCTACAGTCTCAATTAAGTCATTAAAGATTCTATTTCTAAAACTTCATTATCTCTTTTTCAGTTAGTATCAAATTATTATATATTATGCATTTTGATGACTTTTTTATTCCAATTTGATAATCCCTTATTCTTATAGATTAAAATATTATAGTGCTAATTGTGGGAATCTCAAAGATTTTAATTTTTTATTTTCTTTAATACTATCCATTTCAATTGCAATAATAGAAAAAATCTTGATAAATAAACTTAAATAGAAATCTTTATATTAGTTTAAAATAATGATGATGATCAGTTCTAGGCTAGTAATGTGCTAATACTTTCTTTCTCCATAACAGAATACACAAGAAGTTATTACCTAATCAAACTAGTAGAGAACTGTTGAAAGATAACCAATTTTAATTGGAATCATAGATTTAATATAAACATTATTAAATTTAATAAGAAATAATGAGTATACAATATTTTATTTTAAAGTAATGGTCAATTTGTTGAAATTAGAAAAATGTTGTTTTCATTAATTGATACATCTATATTTACTCAAAAGTCTTTATCCCAATTAGGATCTTTAGCAAGATGCTTATTGTATTTGATTTTGTGATTGTCTTGTTCATGCTTGATTTCTTAAACAACTAATTTATTCTGATTAAATCTCTTTTAAATATCATTTTCAGAGACCATGTTTTCTGCTTTAGGTAAATACTAAACGTGTTATATAATTAGAATACCGGAGGTTTGAGTTCTCTACTAAACAGCTTATCGAAATCAAAATCATCAAACCATGGATGAGCCTTCAATGCTGAGTAGGATGCACCTAACCTAGTTTCTGGTTATCTATTCATTAACTATTCCATTAATTTCTTGGCATATCTATCTTTTAGAAATGTAGGGTATTTAATTTAAGTATTCATAATCTCTTCGTATATTTGGTATGGGTCTTCTAATTCCTCTCCAAATGGTACTCCTCCACACATGAACTCATACATACATATTCCAATACTCCATAAGTCCACTGTAAATGTATAGCCTTTCCCTGCCATTATTTCTGGAGCCATATAATGAGGAGTTCCAATAATTGTATATGTTCTGCACGCCTTTGCTTTTAACAATGGTTTAGCAGTACCCAAATCAATTAAATACATAAAACCTTAAGCATTTACCATAATGTTCTCTGGCTTTAAATCTCTGTATACAATACTCTTAGAATGTAAGTATTCTATGCAAAGAATCATTGTACCAATGTAAAATTATGTCTCAGGCTTAGACAACAATCCTATGTCTCTTATAACATCAAACAACTCCATTCCCCTAATGAAATCAACCAAAAAGTAAATAGACATATCATCTTTGAATGTTCTGACAAATCCCATAATAAATGGAAAGTTTATCTATTCTAATACTTTTTTCTCTTACGTAATATGTTTCTCTAAATTTTATTCAATTATAGACGCTTTGCTTACACTTTTCAAAGCAAATACCTTATTAATTTCTTTGTGTTTGACCAAATATACACTTCCAAATTGTCCTTCTCCTAGTTTCTTAATGTAAACTAAGTCTTCTACAAAAATATGAGAAGCATCTTCCCTTTAACCGATTTGTTAGATTTTTTTTTCATGAGAATTTTCATTTTTCTTTAGGACAGTTTCTAAATCTCCTCCAAAAATCTTAAACAAAGCTTAATAGGTAATCGTGGCTAATACTCCATCTCCTACCATAGAAAAGGCACTTTCAAGAGGAGATCCATAGAGTTCCTTCTGTAGAAATTGATCTCCAAAACAAGAGCCTTTACTGATTGATTCTTGTTTTGAATTTATTAATACACCCTCCAAAACTACAACTAATTTGTCACATGGTTTATTAGTTTCAAAAATAACTTAACCTTTTTTAAAGTTTTCTATCTTAGCTTTTTAAGATATTTTTTCCAATTAGATTTTTGTTAATTATTTTAGAACAACACTTTTCTCAAAACTCCATCTCATGATGTTATTGAAAATTATAAGTTATATTTTATCACCCAATATCTTAGTTAAATTCTCTCTTCCCAAAGCCACACATTTGACCTCTGTCTCTGCCTTGACTGTAGCCCCTCTCACTGATTTCTCATACAAAGCTTACTCTCTAAAAAATAGATCAAATTACGAATTTTACCCAAAACTATCTTTTGCACCCATTTTTCTTATTAATTTATCTCCTTTCAATATTTACACCTAACCACTTTTTATGACATAAAATGAATCTGCTTAATCTCCTTCATTCACAATATTCTATCCAGGATTGAACTTGGTCGTGATTAGTGCATGTCCTATCATATCTCTTTATTCAGATGTCATAAACGAGAAGAAATTGACCTAATACAAAGTCAATGCATACTTAATCAATGAATTTTCTGTTTTCGTCGTATTCCTTTAAAGTGATCTCCTCAATCGTTTTCTTAAATGTAGCCCTTTCTAGAGACCAAAATCCGCAATTAGTAAGTGCTTTTGTGGAGGCAGATCTTGTGGCATTATAAAGCAAAGCGATTTCGCCAAACTAGTCTCCTTATTGTAGAACTCTAATGGGATTCTCATTGATAATAATTTCGACTTATCCTCTTTCAATAACGAAATATGCACTAGCCTACTATATCAACTAAGTTCATTAACCTAATTTCCTTGTTTGAAAACAAACTCTCCTGCTTTAATTGTACAATAGAACATATTTTCTATCAACTTTTAGAGAGAATCTTGGGGAAGACTAAAAAAGACAAAATGATTTTTGAAGCTTTTAATGATCAGATCAACATCACTTTCTGAGAGATAATTACTTTAAATTGTATACATTGCATATCTCTTTCAACTCTCTTGACGTTTTCTATAATTTAGCCTTCAACATCCTCACCGCCTCGATATTTTTTTTACATTTTTTTTTAGGCTCTAGCCACTACATTCTCATTTTCCTTAGGAGATTGCATTTAAATTAAGTCGCTAGGGTCTTATTTCAATTTGAATACTTTTTAATTGTTTCTTCGTCAGCTGTAAATCGATGTTTCATTTCAGCTTAAATCAGTAACTTACCAATATTATCTACATAGTACTTTGGGTATTTTTTTGCCAATCAAGTCTTCTATTTCTGAGGTGTTGGCACTTTTCAAAGATTTTGATGTTTGATCAGGTTCAGCAGTTTGTTACGACGATCCACAACCCATATTAAAATAAAAATTATATTTTTATATGTGTATTTAATGTAATATTGTATTGTATCAATAGACGTTTCCCTCAAAGGTTTATTTGAACCATTCTACAGCTTCCTTTTTAGTCACTCTTTATTGTGTGCCCAATCTTGAATTTCTTGATTTTCTTTGAGCCACTCTCAATCCTGGTCTTGACAACACAACATAGAAGTCCATACCGAAAATACCTATTGGTTGTACATTAACAGAATACCTGTGTATGGATCATATTTCAATCCCAAATCAATGTGTTCTTGAATACCAAATCCGAAGTTTCCTGATTCAGAAAAGTTTCTCTTCTTCAATTCCATTTCCTTGACTCTTAGACCCCTAACAAGAATGTCTCTAGCTTAATCGCCTCTAATGGTGCAATAGACAGAGATTTTTTCATTTCTTCTAATACCAAATGATCTCACTGTATATCTTGCTTTGCCAAAAACAGGCTTTTATCCTGTAAGATCTTCCAAGACTTTAGCAGCCTTAGTCAACTTGTCGCCTGATTCACCTGCGCAAATATGAACCATCAATTTTTCAATTCTTATTTTTCTCATAACATTCTCCTTGGTTTCTTATGGTTTAGCAACTTTTGTCTAAGCAGCAGTTTGTGGCTTAGCATCAGTTTTAGTCTATGCTCCCTTTCCTCCCTTTTAAGCCTATTAAGACATCTTATTTCCTCAAATTAAATTAAAAAAAAATCTTTATATTTGAAATACACTAACGACCAAGATATCAAATACAATATATATATATATACATTGCTTTAATCTCCCTTATATTAATATATGTACTATTTTGTTTATACTGTAATAAATTCATCATTCTTATGGTTATTAGGTGACTTCCTTGTCGATTTGTCCTTATTTGATAAGATTTAAAGCGCTTTAGTCTTCAGCTTGACCGTGTCTTCTGACTTGAGCTTTGTTTCTGTTGGCATCTTCGTAGAATTCTCTCAATTTTTGAGCTAACAATTTAGGGAGACATCATTACCATCAACCTTGGGTCTCTTAACCAACTTCACTTTTCTTAAAGTAATGTTTTAGAGTGGGAAGATAGTTCTTGTGGCCTTTGCGATTTCTTTTGAAAGAATTTCTTGATTGAAGAAACCAAGTAATGTGGTGATGCTTTTCTTTGAGACTTCTCTGAGGACAATTTCAGCAATCTTCTTTCTGATGTCTTTGATTTGACTTCTTTAAGCATAAGTGGTTTTTCTTTATTGATTTTTGATGCTCTTGGTGAATGCAATGAGAAAGATTCTCAAGATATATCCATCTGATGATCTGGCTTCGACTTAAGTCTAATTGAAAATTATGAATTTAAAAGTACCTCAATCAAAGTTTATCGCTTTTTAATCATTCCAAAGATCTTATCCTTTGTTGAATCAAGGCCATAGAAAGAAGTTCTGCATCTTGTGCCTTCAACATCATCAATAATTAATTTGACTTTTCTCCATGCCATTTGATCTGATTGTCCTTGAAGATCAGCCAAGGATGCTTCAACCACACGTCCTTTGATGGCTTCAGTGGCCACGACTAAAGGCTTTATAATAATTAAATACCTGTTCCTGCAGATTTATTGATGCAAGTATAGCCAAATCCACCAGCGCTGAAGGGGACTGGAGCTGTTAATTCAAACCATTCCTTTCTTGCCAATGGGTCGATAGTTTTCTTTTATCCCTTCTTCTTTCCTAATTTCTTATTCTTTCCTTGAGTCATGCAAAAAGATTTTGATTTTTTTTAATTTTTTCAAAAATTTATTACATGCGCATAGAAGCATTCCTAATATATATAATTAAATTTAATTAAATGAATTCCTCCTCAATCCAAACTGAAATAGGTAGGTACACAGACATCAATCACATATTCGAGACTGTCCAGAAGAGAGGCTATCTCACACAATTGACTACATTTTTGGAGGAAGTCTTTACAAACGAAATCAACTTTGCATCCTAAAGTAAAATCACATTTGCATCATTCCAATAGGACTCAAAGAAGTAATCAGCTCCATGCAAAGACAAGGATAAAAGGTCGAATACTCAATCCAATTAAATCGAAATATACAAATTTTTAAGAGCAATTTTGATTTAATTTTAACTGCTACATCGAACAATGTCTGGAATCAAATAGTTAATTCGATGAATCTGATCTCCGATGAAACATTTCAACTCGCCAACAACAAATCCGATATCATCTCCCCAGTTTCCAGAAAAATCGAAAGACAATCAGAACCTGATCTTAAAAAAATGACTATGAGTCAATCCTATGTGAGCAGATCTCCAAGCAAAATTTCAACTATCAAACAACAGTAAACTATTCCCTTGAGCGAAATGTCCATACAAATGAGAGGATCGCCAACCACCTTCAACAAAGCCAAAAGACAATTAGACAATAGTTTAACTACAAGTTCTCCAGGAGTAGGCAGGTATCGAACCGAAGTGGCTGAAAAACGTATACTCTTACCTTTAAACTTCTAGATATCAGAGAGACCTCACCCAATGCTACCATAGGAAAATCAGCAAAAATTAGTTGGATTGATGAAAAACTGTAAAAAGAAGATGCTCAATCCCCAGGACCCATATATAATCCAGTAAAAACATTCTGTTCTAAACGTGTTAAATGATTGATTCATAATCATAATAATAATCATCAATCAAGTCATCCCCATAATTCTTTCACAAATATCTTTTGTTCTTCTAATTCATTCACTTTTCTATAAGCCAAGTAAGGCATCACTTTCCTAGCCTATTTAAACATGTTCTCTATGGCAATCTAGACATCTCTACCCATCTAGGTAGATCCACACACATAAATAACACCACCAGATTCTAAAAATTAATTCAAGAATTCAACATCCAAATAATTTGTTATTCTAATCTATTTTATGTCAACATATATAATTACTTGTTGTCCCTCCCTTGAGAATGCCACCTTCAATTGATTTAATGTGCCATTCTTTTCATACTCTTCTAATTCCTCCTTAAATAGATAGTCATTCATGGTTCTGCAACCAAAGAATAGTGTCATTGGACCTTTAAATGGACTCTAATCTAGCTTGTTTTGCTCTATGAATTCATCTTTTTCTTAGATAAAGGCTCTCATTGGAGCCAATCCAGCTCCAATACCTAACAATAAAATTGGAGCCTAAGGATTTTGAGGCAATAAGAATGCTGAATCCTATAAGAAACATTTTATCTCCTATCCAGCCTTTACATTTCTTAAGAATTAGGAACACAATCCCAACTATACATATAAAAATATTTTACCCTCTCTTTATTTATTAATAGTTCACTTGCAATAATCTCAATTTTATTTGGATTTTTTAATGGACTTGATGCAATAGTAAAGTATCTAGGGGAAATCAAAGGGCACAATTCAATCAATTATTACAATGATATGTTTCTAATATTGTATTTTTTCACTAGATGGAAAAAACATTATCTTGTTTGTAAATAGTTTGTATCATATTCTTCTCTTCCTTTATGGGATGAAACAAACTTGAGTTCCTCCTTTGCTTTTTGATCATCAACTAATTATGAAAGGGTGTATAATTATTTTTTAGTAATAGGTCCTAAAAAGTCACAATACTTCTTCAAATAATTATGAACACTAATTGGAGTTGGAAATGGGTGATTTCCTTTGGTCTCAATTTAAAAAATATATTGTGGATCCAAATTTAACATAGTACATATTTCTTAGATATATTCTTCACTGTTTTCTGGATATATTCCAATATTTTAAGCTGCTTTGTATGGAATATTTTGGGATTCTAAACTTAAATACAATGTTGAATTTCCAGGACTTGGAGCCTTTCGTAATTCTTTAATTTCAATAATCTTAAGGGAGTGGGAATCTTTGTATTTTTATGCTTAAAATGACAAGGTTTCTCCTACTACAACATCTATGTTATTAAATTCCTTTATTTTGTAAATCGAACTTTGAACTTAATTCGCAGGCACAGTTACCAATGGAGACAAGGCTTCTAGTGCTGCAAACAACCCACTTTCGACCCAGACAGAGTAATCATTGTCAGTAGTCTCATCACAAGAATTACCTTTTCCTAATTAGAAGATTCTTGTTGCTCCAAGTTCTTCTAATCTTGCATCTGTCTTCAATCCCATGCCACAAAAGTGTTCATGTTTTGTATTTCCCAAGGCAAATACAGTAAAATGTACTCCCTATAATTCATTTTATTTCCTATCCTTGGACTGAAGCCAATTATGAAAGTCTATGGCATCACTAGTTGGTCCACCCACTCCATAAGTAGAAACAAAGAAAATATTGAGTCTGGTTTGAATAAACACATCAGGATTGAACTCTTTTAAGTTGAATACTAAATATATATGTACTGATGTACCCTTTGGGATAAATTTGTGTTGTGTGGCTTCGTCTGCGAATTGAAAGGCTAGACGTGACGAATTTCCAGATGTAGTACCATAGTACACATTGATAATTTCTCTGGTATCAATTGTTTATTACATTTTTAATAAATAAATAAATTTGTACGTACAATATTATGAGCATTTATATACTCAATTATATTGATATCATTTTATTTATAACACATAATTAATTATCACAAATAATTAATAAAATTGTTTAAATTCATTTTTGTTATTTTTTTGTTTAAAATAGTTTTTAATTAGAAACATCAATAATATCAGCATTGGTGTTAATCAGATATGTTTAGAGTAGAGCACTTGGACAAGATTGATTTTTGGATCTCAAAGACTTTTAAACATCAATTGAATCAGTATACAATTGATTGAGCTTTAACTCTGTATAAGAAGCAAAAGATTCTTGCTCCTAAAATCTCTATCTTTCTGTATTGCAATAATCGGTTTCTATCAACAAGGGCTATGTTTTTTACGACTTCATTATTTTGATTGAAGCCCCTTTGAAGTAGTTCTTTTGGAATAAATTTTAAACCTTATAATGTTACTACAATAAGATCATTAACATACTTTGACTGCTGATTGTTGTTATTGATATTCTTATTGTTTTAATTGTTGTTTGATTTAATTTTCTAAATATTGAAACTTTTTGTTATCATCTGTGAGTCTCAAGAATCTCTCCTTCTATAAGTAATTGAGCTCCTTATTTTTCTCCAGAAATACACAAACTTCCCTCTTTATCTAAGATTCAGCTTGCATAGGATCCTTCTCAGTAAAAAACCTGGATACTTTCCGAGACTTAGGTAATTGATTCTCCTGTATTCTTGTGTCATCTGCCTTTGTAGACTGTGTAGCAACACTCCTATTAATTGTTTGATGATGTTTGTTTCCAATCTAGCAATACCTGAGAACAGTCCTACACTCCTTCTTGATCTCAGGCTTTTTATTCTTTTCTCCACCGAGCAATTGCATAACCATCTCCAATCTCTATTGTTTTTATTACTATTCTTGATCACTTTTCTTCTTTTTGTATTTGTATAACATTTTTTTGAAGATGTGTGCATATTGTTACAACTTTGCAATATCCTCAGATTTTGCAATTTATTCTCTTCTGTCAATTATATCATCAATTAATTTAATCCTTTATTGATAGTTGTTCAATCCCTCAACTGCATGCTTAATTTGAGTTCTAGAGAAAACATCCGAAATTTTATTATAAGTTTTCGAGATCTGACATTTCATACTGAATCTGTTATAAATATTATATAAAATTTTGACAGAATACTTTTAGTTTAATTAGACTAAGCGAATAATATTTATAAGTAAAATCAAACTTGAAGTTATTATAAATCATCTATCTCTCTACTATTTCTACTATTTAGGGGATGGATTTTTGTGCTACCTGTTGTAATGTGTTGAATTTAATGATATTGTTTTAATTAAGTTCTATTAGTTATATGATTAGATATTTACGCTGTTTTTGGTTATGGAGTAGGCTAGACAGTTTCCTGTTGAATTTTGATCCACTTCTCTTTAGCTGCATCTAGTGTAACAGGATTACGACGATCATAATCATCATAGAAAGTTAAGAATTTTTCATCATATGATTCCACTGTGGCATTATCAATACCCAAATCCACTATACATCCACATATTTTCTAAATTGGGATGAAATAGTGTAATGTTGATAATCCCAATTATAGCCATGTTAGAATGTGAACTTTATCGTAGTTCACCCATTCCCAAAAAGTGCATCCTAACTAAATAATTAATGCGAGCTTTTACAGAAAACAATAATAGAATTAATTCGATATAAAAATCGATCATTGCCTCAGCCATAGCACTGCCTGTTGGAGCAGGCTTGGAATCTCTTCTTATCAATAAGTACTTCTCCGTCCAATAGATACAAACTATTGAAATAAAAGTGAAGCAAACTCCTAATGGCAATAAGGCTGCATATAAAAAGGTAAACAAAAGGGTTTTACACAATTTAGCATATTTCTATGATAAATCAATTGTGGGTCCTTCGAAAGCTCTAAAAATAGATTAGTAAATTACTGATTAGCTTCATTTTAAGTGTATTTGCAATTCTCTCCTTACATAATAATTTTGCGTCTGACATATAACTTATAAAAATAATTGATATCCAATAATAGAGTCAGCCAAGGCATTATAGAATTAGTAATGAAAATCAACATCACATCTGAATTGAGTCCTCCTGTTTACCAAATAGCCTGATCTAGAGTCACAATATCCTCCTGTATAAAAAGATTGATAATTAAGGTCAAGATGGCAGTGTTCAGAAATTAAGCCACTCCCATCTTGTAAGCCACACTAACGTTATAATCTGTCCTAGTAGCTTGCTATTCCAATTCAGCAAACTTTATAATCATCTTAGCCAACACAACATTTATAATTGAGATCAAAATTGATGATGCAAATCCAAGAAGAGTAATAATGGCTGCTTCTGCAGTTGAGCCTTTAGAGATATGCTTGTTTATAATATTTTATGCATAAGACAATGCAACTAATAATCCAAATCCAATTGCTAACAGAAAGAGAGTCATGGCATTTGTTATCAAGGTTCTCTTATACTATTCTTTGATTGTAATTCCAAGATTACCCCAAATGATATCACCAGGTTCTGGTGCTTTCCTTACAAAAAGGTTATTGTTTCTAAATTTCTTGAATTCATTCTATTCGAAACCCAATTAATCTAACAAGATCTGAAATCTTGTTGATTTGAATGTCTTGCAAACATTGTCAGCTTGTTTTTCGTAATTATATGTAATAATGCATATTCCACTGAAATCGAAAATAGTAGCTCTATGATCTTCCATATAATCTAATTCCTTTGAAATTTTTTCTATTTCTTCAACTAATTGAACTCTTGGTGGTATTGATTTTGGTATTTGTTTTCCTTCCGCTTCCAATTCAAGTACTTTGGTAAGCACCGTTTCTTTGAGTTATTTTTAAGTATTCAGTTTCAAATAAGGTTAAATTTCATAGGCAATGCAAAGTTTTCTAAATTCGACAGTTTCATTTTGAAAGGGCTATGAAAAGTATTCTTAAATTTCAGGTTCTTTCGCATCTCTTGGAATATTCTCAACTATTATTGAAAAATCAGATGCCAAAATCGCTGCATCATCCAATTCCATTGCTATTTTGCTTATGTGTCTTCTGTAAAATAGAGTCAAAAAAAGTATCACCACTTGGGATATAAAATTGAGAATGCTACGAGTTTCATCCAAATGTCTAAGGAAAATATTAAGATATACATACTCATAGTCATTTGTCAAGGAGAACTAGTTGAAAAAATCTGTTTTACATTTATCAGCAATACTACTCTATATTTGACTGCACCTCTTCCCATGATAATTTGCATAAATATCGTATCCGCAACTGATGGCTCTAATATATTGTAATTAATTAAATGTACATATATGCAAATACGATAACTCCCGAAAAAACTAAGAAATCAAAATACAACGCTATCCCTGATCCGTTGAAACTGAATTCATTTCTTGATGAACATAATGGAATTTCTTCGATGACTGCTGGCAACCCACAACAAGGACACACATTTGTTTTATCAAGGTCAATATTTGGATCAGTCTTGGCAAATTTAGTAGCTGCCGCATGCATCATAGCAATCTTAATCTTTGGAGGCCTCTGAAAATCATCATAAATTGCTTCCATTTGTTATTCCTCATTTTGCTACACACCAATGACTTAAAGAACTTAATTCAACATATAAAAAATATCAAATTCTTATTCATTATTATTTGTGTCTTTAAATTATAAATTCAGATACAATAAATTAATACGATTAAATCTGAATTATTTAAAGGCAGAACTTCTCATCTTCATAAGATATTTCGAAAAATTGTGATAACTATTTTTATCATATCGCTTTTCTTACAATTTTAGAATTAATTGAATTTAAAATCAAATCATATAATGTGCTTCTTAGAGAATTTCGTTCTAAATATAGTTCCATATTGTTGTCTCAAAGTTTATAATTTAATAAAGATTATGATACTATTGAAGTTCATATTAACCCAATTTCACTATGCTATTTCTATGTAAATAGGAATATTCCCATAAAATGAAGCTCTCAAAAATTTTATAGATTGACAGAGAAATTGTGCGGATCAAAATAAATTTTTTACAGAAAAAATATTTTAGTGTAAATATTTAATTGAAGTTATCTACTCCTTTTAGAAGCAGATCACATCTCCCCTTTGAATCTCAATATATAAAGGAACCCTATAATCACTTGAGTTAGTTACATTATGTTTGTGTTTTATTTAAGTCAATTTCTGAAGTTTTCTTTCTACTCATAAATCAATCATACTTTCCATACTTACTGATTCAGAACAGATATATAATTGTCAATAAATAGCAGCATGATACTTCTATTGAATATAATAATATATATAAAATAATGTGTTATATTTCTAAATATAGATGATAATTTGGAAGTTTCAAAGCAACTANTTTGCTTATGTGTCTTCTGTAAAATAGAGTCAAAAAAAGTATCACCACTTGGGATATAAAATTGAGAATGCTACGAGTTTCATCCAAATGTCTAAGGAAAATATTAAGATATACATACTCATAGTCATTTGTCAAGGAGAACTAGTTGAAAAAATCTGTTTTACATTTATCAGCAATACTACTCTATATTTGACTGCACCTCTTCCCATGATAATTTGCATAAATATCGTATCCGCAACTGATGGCTCTAATATATTGTAATTAATTAAATGTACATATATGCAAATACGATAACTCCCGAAAAAACTAAGAAATCAAAATACAACGCTATCCCTGATCCGTTGAAACTGAATTCATTTCTTGATGAACATAATGGAATTTCTTCGATGACTGCTGGCAACCCACAACAAGGACACACATTTGTTTTATCAAGGTCAATATTTGGATCAGTCTTGGCAAATTTAGTAGCTGCCGCATGCATCATAGCAATCTTAATCTTTGGAGGCCTCTGAAAATCATCATAAATTGCTTCCATTTGTTATTCCTCATTTTGCTACACACCAATGACTTAAAGAACTTAATTCAACATATAAAAAATATCAAATTCTTATTCATTATTATTTGTGTCTTTAAATTATAAATTCAGATACAATAAATTAATACGATTAAATCTGAATTATTTAAAGGCAGAACTTCTCATCTTCATAAGATATTTCGAAAAATTGTGATAACTATTTTTATCATATCGCTTTTCTTACAATTTTAGAATTAATTGAATTTAAAATCAAATCATATAATGTGCTTCTTAGAGAATTTCGTTCTAAATATAGTTCCATATTGTTGTCTCAAAGTTTATAATTTAATAAAGATTATGATACTATTGAAGTTCATATTAACCCAATTTCACTATGCTATTTCTATGTAAATAGGAATATTCCCATAAAATGAAGCTCTCAAAAATTTTATAGATTGACAGAGAAATTGTGCGGATCAAAATAAATTTTTTACAGAAAAAATATTTTAGTGTAAATATTTAATTGAAGTTATCTACTCCTTTTAGAAGCAGATCACATCTCCCCTTTGAATCTCAATATATAAAGGAACCCTATAATCACTTGAGTTAGTTACATTATGTTTGTGTTTTATTTAAGTCAATTTCTGAAGTTTTCTTTCTACTCATAAATCAATCATACTTTCCATACTTACTGATTCAGAACAGATATATAATTGTCAATAAATAGCAGCATGATACTTCTATTGAATATAATAATATATATAAAATAATGTGTTATATTTCTAAATATAGATGATAATTTGGAAGTTTCAAAGCAACTACAGCTATGTGAAAATCATAAAATATTGAAAAAGTTGGACATGTGAGATTGAAAATTTTAAAAATATTCAAAAGCCATGTACTCTAAACCTTCATATATGTAATTCTTTCAATATTGTATATATAAAATAATAAATATTTTTGTGCAAGTTATATTTTTGTTAATATTTAAATGTTGCATATAAATTTGATTATTATTTAGGCAATCTTTTTTTTATTAAGATACCCTTTCTGTATGGATAGAACTAACCTATAATGCATTACAAATAATAATTTTAGACAAACAATCTACTCGCTAGTTGAAATTTGAAAATCAATTACTGTTGATTAATTTTAAACAGATTCATCCATTTTGCATTAAGCGATATATTCCGATAATCCATTTATATTGAATAAATTTTAACATATAATACTTTTATGATTAATTTATTATTAATACAGTACTGTTTAATATTATTTTAATGTAAATAATTTTGGTCTGCCTTGCTCTTACTTAAGTTTAGATCATATAAAATAATATTTTCTTTAATATCAATGTCAAAATCACATTTATCAATCACATAGAGATGAATTAGTTCTTGAAAATAATTCTAAGCAATAATCCTAAATGAACAAAAGCAGGTTATTTTTAATATGTTTATCAATAATGTATATTAAATAAAACATGTAAAATCTGAGAGGGGATCTTAATTTTACAGTATTTTCTTAACATTTTTATGATAATTTGGCAATAAATGATCATTTGACTGGATAATTTTGATTGTTGATTAATTGTCATGGTATTAATCAATCATTTCTTTGAGTATGCCTGATAACACCTAAATGGTGAAGAGCCAGATTATATAGAGGTCTATGACTTACAATTTGTATTAAGAATTCTGGGAACCATGCAATTATTCATAAAAGTGGAAATAATTAAAAATAAAAAAATGTCAAAAAAATCTACATATGTATCGATTGGGAGAGAGATAGAATAGGCAAGGATGACAAAGTCTTCTGGATTTAGCGATTCACTGAATGAGAAGGAACTTCGAAACAGAGCAACCAGTCTGTTACAAAAACCTTAATTAAAGAAATTTTACAAGAGTAGGAAAGATGGGGCTATAATAAAACCGAATAAGGTAGTGGAGCAGTTAAGAAACACTTTCTTGGATAAATTAAACTTGAGCAATTTAGAGAGTGCAGCGCCTCCGAAATCTGCAGTATCACATTAATCTTCAACGACTACGCAACCTCTTTGTTTCGAGATTGATTTTGATTGGCTGGACTATTGCGATGATTAGAAGTTCAAACAATTTTTTAAGGAAGACTTAAAGGACATTCCAGACATGGAACAATATGTAGAGGATAATTAATCATATCTATGTCATATCTTTGCTTAATGTGCTTGTGCCAAATGCACTTGCAATAAATGCATTTGCCAATACAAAAAGAAATCAGAACTAAATTACGCATATGGAATGCTCACATCCAACAGGTTCGATTATGTACCAAAATAAAACAAATGCTTTACTCCAATCATAACTCAATCTCATTATGACAATATTGGATTGCCAGTTGCATCCATGTAATTCAACTCCACTTAGAGAGACAATTACAAATGGATACCATAAGACAGACCAAGAACTGCAGCCAAGTCAATGTATGAATCTCACAATTTACCCACTGGACAAACTACTAATAATGTACGAATTTTCATTCAATAGTCTTGCTCACATTCATCAATTGGAAGGACTATACTCCCAATATATTTAAGGCTCCACAATTTCGCACTACTGTTAAGGCCAACCTAATGAATAGAACTAATTATAGGAATCAATTCATTTGGAAGGTCAAGGACGAGAACCAACCTACAGCTGACTATGTTAAGTAAAAACAATTTCAGTACAAAAAACATCCTATACACATAGTTAAACCATTGCAAAGATATATCCAAATCAATTGCGTTCTTTATATTAAGAATCCTTTGTCTAAAAAAATCAAAAGCCTCTCAGAGTGTTCATGAAACCGGAAGAGATAATTCCATGTAGTGCATATCAAGGCTAGTACACAACTACCAAGCAAATGGATTATGAGGGCAAATAAATAACTGCCAAAGAGATCCAACAGAAACCATGGAAAGGAAGATTGATAAAAAAATTATAAAATATCTAATGATCCATTTTAAACAGGGAACTCTGTATTTATAATAAATTAACTTCTCTATACAATTCACAAATCTTGTTTCTAAGCAAAACTTCCATTCTATTCAATAAACTCCTTAAGTGCCTCTGCAGTTCTACTACCACTGTATTTCAGTTGTTAGACTTTGGCTTCTCCCTTCTTGAAATGAATCAAAGTGGGGAATCCTTAGATTTCTAAAATTGGTATTTTATGAACAGTGGCATCCAATTCAGCAATCAACACATTTTTACTATCCTTATATCCCTCTGCTAATTTCACATATTCAGCTGACATAGCTTTGCAATGTCCACACCAAGGAGCATAAAATTTCACAAAAACATCCTATTTGCTCTTCAATACAATCTATTCAAAATTCTCAGCTGTCAATTGGATCACTTGTCCATCATTAGGGATATCTACTCTATCAGTTTCCTTCACTTCAAAGGATTCCTCAGTCAATTAAATCTAAGGTTCACCCTTGTAGTTGCTGTCTAATTATTTCAATAAGAAATCCTTCATTCCTTAGACTGTTCTCTATCCATCAAAATCGATTTTCTTCTTTGAATCTCCTTCAGACTTGAACAATATTAATGTTGGATATCCTTGAATATCATGGCCTTCAATTTTATGAACTGTGGAATCAATCTCAGCAATTACGATATCCTTTCTATCCAATTCCGCGGCTAATTCCTCATAGATGGGTGCTAAATTTTTGCAATGACCACACCATGGTGCATAAAACTTAACAAACACATGATTAGGATTGTCATACACCTATTCTTTAAAATTGGAGGAAGTTAGAACATGAACTTCACCTTCCCCTTTGAAATAAATGTCAGAATCCCCATTTTGAGAGTCTTCATTATTAAGTGATTACTCAATCAAGGTCTCCACCAATTATTTATGGGTTTCAAATGATTCATCTGAGAATTCAGCTGTTATGGTCTTTTTTTTCCTATTTTTATAACCAATTATAATACGAGAAATTGTAAAAGTAAATGACATTTTTAGCAACGACTTTCTTCTTGATCAAGTACTGGAATCTCTTGTTTGGCAAAATCTAATTTGGATCAATGAGGACAAATCTAATGTTATTCTTATGCAATTCAGCCAAAGCCTTAAGAGTTTTGAATAATTCACCATCTTTTGTACCAGCCACTCCAACCAAGGGAATCTTATCTTTTTCAACCTTCAAGAATTCTTCCTCTGTCAATGAGAACACTTCAGGATACCCATAGGCAGAGATCCATTCTGATAATCCATCAAATTCCCCATTGTAATTAATTGGTGCAGGTAAAACCTTGTGAAATAGAGTATATTTTGATGAATGAGCTTATTACAATTCTGGATTCACGACAATACCAAACTTAATTGCAGGATTTTCAGTAGCCACGCTTTATAAATCATCATCATTATTCACATATTTGAGTACTGCAAAAAAGGATCTTTTTAGGAAGAGATCAATCTAAATAAGAATATAATGTACTTCTTCCTGAGTATTCAAAGTAGTAATTTAATCATAAGCATTTTAGAGAGCATACTCAAACAACAAATCAACTGTGTCTGATTAATTAGGAAAGTCTTGGACAACACCATTTTTGTAAAGTTTAAGTGTTGGATAGGACTTAACATTGTTTTTTGCAGTAAAAGCTTTGTTTTCGTGAGCATTGATTTCTCCCAAAACAAATCCATAATCTTTTAGCATTTCAGCTAATCTAATAAAAACTGGCTTCATCTTCTAGCTTTTAAGTTAAATCAACATCAATACCAATATCCACATGTGTCGATGTAATACTTGACCAGCAATCTTGGATTTTCGTCAACAGCTTATTAGAAATTTTTTCTAGTAAGTTGTAAAACTCCTTCGACTTCTTCGATTTATTCTCTCGATAATACAATGAAGAGAAGGGCTAGTAACAAGAAATATTTCATTGATTAAAATATTCGAAATATAATGCGTGTATTGTTATAAGTATTGACAGAAGAATATTCTAGATAATTTGTGTTTGAATTATTGACAGTTGTTTGTAATCATAATAAATTAATTTAATATAATCCCTGATAATTATTGAATGGCAATTTCTTCGGTTGAAACACTACACTTTCAAAATCTCTAGTAATCTCCTTGTATTGTTCGATCTCCTTCTCAATGTTGAGAGTCACTTCGAATTTGGGATACGTAAATTTGAGTCGTCTATTATTCTGCGAGATCAGGAATTTAGTTATCTATTCGTATCCTCTCAATTACGCTAATGATTTAAATGCTCATCATTCATACCTAAATCAATGGCATTGTAACCGTATTTCCCTCTTTTATCGATCTGAGCCCCTCTTTCAGTAAGAGTTTTAATGGCCTCAATTTGCCAGTTGATGACTGCTTAAATGAGAGGAGTGCGACCTTGATTGTCGATTTCATCAATTGGTGCTCCTCTCAATAATAGGTAATCTATGATGGCTGTGCGATTTAGGGAGGCAGCTAAAGAGAGAGGTGTAAACTCATATTTGGTGGACTCCAAGGAGTTAGGATTTTGATCAATAGCCAATTTAGCCTCATTAATATCGTTGTCGCAAATTGCTTTGATTAATCTATAATCGGTAGTGTGATGATGAGTGGAATCTGGATTCGTATGCCATGCTGCATTGATGATCCTATTGAATGGACTTGAGAAAGGATTGAAGGTTTCTGTTCCATCATATTAGGTTCCAACATACTGAGGCAATTCCCAATTTAAAAAATGCTTGACTTTAGGTGGTAAATATGAAAACATTCTTATAATTACAAAATTATGTAAATTAAATATATTATTCAAAAAGCTTATTTGAGTGATCCACGAATGCTGTTTGCATTATCCACATTGTACTTCTATTGATCCTCCTAATCTAATAATTTTACTCAGGATATGATTACTTTTTTTTAATTTTGGTTGGATCTAATACATTTTAATTTGGTTACTGTGAGGAATGTCATCATCTTCATTTACATTATAATCATTCTCTTCTAAAATGCATTCTTGTTTCTAAACCTTGACTGACTGACTCTGTTATCTGAATGTACTTCCATTAGGTTCTTCTCGATTGATGTCAGCTGTATTAGATTTACTCCTCATTTAGGGAGTCACACTAAGAGGAGTTGATGTTAATGATTGATTGAGTTCTTGGCCCATTAATGGCGTTCGGGCATACAAATCTGAATTCCTTTTGTGTCTTGGCAGGTTTTCTTCACTTGAGATTGCTATGAGATCAGGTATAATTACAGATGCAACTGATAATCTGCCTATTTCTGGAACCATTGATGTTAAAGAGCCAATTCTGTGCTTATTCTGAGATCAGCATTTTTCTCTAGCAATGCTCTCAACAAATGAATAGCCTCTTCGCTGAGGGGATGATTGTTAATTAAACTATACTCGATCTGACAATGGTAGTTCTTCATCACAATCTCATCATAAGATTTGGCTTTGAATGGAGATGCACCAGTCAACATTATGAACATTAGCACTCCTGCACTAAAGATGTCCACTTTGAAATCATAGATTTTATCTTGTAATAATTCAGGTGCAACATATCCTGGAGTGCCACAACGTTTAAACATATAATCTCCAGATGGATTATAATAATCTGCTAATCCAAAGTCTGCTATTACAACATCGGCCATGTCTCCTTTTGTACGAAGTATGAGGTTTTCAGGCTAAGGTGAGTTAAATTGGGTACTTTAATGTCTCGATGCAATACTCCCATCGAATGGATGTAATCAATGGATTGCAGGATTCTGTACATGATGTTGGCCACTGTTTTCTCGTCGTAAGCCTTGCCCTTCATCTAATTGAAGAGTTCTCCTCCTTCCAACAATTCACAAACCAAAAATATGTAATTGTCATTTTCATAAACCTCATGCAATTTGATCACTCCTCGAAAATCCATCTTTCTCATTATGGATAACTCCTTTATTAATGCAGGCTTATAATATGTAAATCTTCATTTCTACCTTATCGATTCGGATGTCTTGAAATTTCAGTTTGTCAAATGCCTTTACAGCGTACAATGATTGATCACTCTTCTTTTATGCACTATACACCTTTTTACTTATCATATTACTTAATACCTTTGCGAAATTACCCTTCCCTATCAATTTGTTTATGGAATATACATTGTTAAAACCTCTTTAAATGCAAAAGGATTTCATATAATCATACCACACTACTTGTGCTTATTCGTTATGGGCAAACAACTCTACTGATTTTCGATTCCTCGTCAACTTGAAACCATAATTCTTCAGTTTATCCAACGTCACATTTTAAAGATCAATATATTTCTTATTATTCGCAAACCTTCCATCCTATATAAAATAGGTGACCTCCTTCTAAACCCCTTTCTTTGAATTCTTGATCAAAGTCCCACTAATTATTGGATCTGACATCTAAACGACCTCCTTGATCCACAACTAGGATTTAGGATCATCAAAAAATGAGATCTTTGGCAAATTCATCTCTTATTTGTTTTAATTACTAGAAAAAGAGAATTTGCAAAATATATATTGGAGTATCATAAATTATATCTATATATATAAGGGTTTCATTAAATAAGGCAGTTCCAGCATTCCTTATTCTTCTACTTTTATTATATCTTTTGTAAGTAGATGTTCTCATCATCAAACTTTATCAATTAAAACGGTTTCAATAACAGTGTTAGTTTAGTCTTATACTTATGACATTTCCTATTTTAAATACTACATCTTATAGATACTTGTATAATTTTTCATGTTGATCCTTTAGATACTTCTATCGAGTTCTTAAATAACCATTCACATTGTCCAAACATGTGATTTTCATTTAGAGATTAATGTACTTGTCCTTCCCATTCACTTTCAATGGGAACTACTTCAATTCCTCATTCAAATGTGTGAATGGATCCAAATTGCGTTGGGCTATGCATATTTAGTCGTTCTCGTATTCTTGAAATAGATTTATTTGCAAGGTTCCTATGTCTATAGCCAAATCCATCATTATCTCCTATTCGAAATTCAACCTCTATGCAACAGTCTCCACATTTCCCTTAATCTTTCTCAGCAAGGTCTAATAGGATAATTCCAATGTATAAATGTAATTTTTATCATCCTTCTAAAAATCTAATATATTAAATTCATCTATTTTCATTATTTAAAATGTAATCTGCAATGATTTATTTGCATCCATTTCTTCGAAGCTAATGGTGTCCTATACAATCTTCGATATCCTCTTATCTATCAATTATAACTATTTCACCTTCTCCAAGTGCTGTTTGTATTTCATAAATACATTATGAATCTAAATTTAAAACTTTTATTATTACTTCAACCGCGTAGCTATGAAGAAAACTATCCAGTGAGGATTTGCAATTCACTTAATCTGTCTAATCCCATATCTTTTTCTATTCACTTTTATTATTTACAAAATACCACTTAATCGATGTGATCACTGTATTTCTTTATTGAAAACCAAATTTCTAAATCCGAATACCCGATCAAGATCTTCTCCTTCACTATATCGCATAATTGAGGGATTTATTGCTCTTTGTTTTTGCAAGTATCAATAAAATATTAGTATTTTAGCATGAATTATATGTTATCAATCATATTTTAAATTATCAATATAGGTTTCGTAAATATCCTCGTCATTTGGCACAGTGGGTTTAATTTGTATATCATATGGACTTTGAAGAGTAGGAAGAAATCTATCGACATCATAAAATTGCATGATTGATGGCTTCTCTTAAAATATTTCAACCCATTTATTCGACAATTATGCTTTCATTTTTTGTTGCTTGATCTCCTTCTACTAAACAAAATGAGGTAGATTCTAGTATCTATTGGGTTGTTTCTTTGTTTATTGTTTTGAATTATCCTCCTTCTTCAATCTATTTCCAACCTCCTTCAACTAAAACTCCTCGCTAAATCCATATTGCTACTCCATCATCTTGACCTCTTCCTACAATTGTTTTAATCTCTCATCTATTATAAGAACATCATTCATTATTTTGAAAATATTTCAATATTATTAATCTGTTAGATTAATTCTTTGTTTTATACATATATAATAAATTACCCTCCATATTATATTAGATCAGTACCTTACATCAATCTATAGCATTAAAGTTTGATATAAGCATATTATGCAAATGTTGAAAATTGTCTATGAATAATAATTTTAATTAATTTAAAGATTTAGTATATATGGAGACCGATACCATCTCTTGGAAGTAGTCTGATGACTTAGATGATATCATTTATCACTAGTTTAAGATTCCTGCTGATTTACAGAAGGCTGAATTACATGGAGTATTCCAAAAATAATGAATCATTAGTTAGCTTATAGAGTTTATGAGAAGCCTCAAGAATAATCTGTATAATGCAAATGTTGTAACTATTATAAAGATCATATTAAATTCAATTTATGTAGTGATCTAAGTAAATCAGATGATCACTCTGTAGCAAATGAATATTTTCAAATTGTGAAGTGGATGATTTTATAACTTACAATCTTTTGGTAATACGATGATCCTATATTAACTAGTGTAACATTTGTTCCTTTCGCATTATATTTTAACCAGTAAGGGGATGAATGTGAAAAACATCCAAATTGTGATTAAAATTCGCTTAAAATTTACTCCATCTGGAATTTGGTCGCCGTTAACTTTAGTCTTGATAATTTAAAGTATGCAGGTGTAGTTCTTTCTACATCAATTATTTACATAATTCTAATGAAATGTGGATCTTGTGACATAATAGCTCCCAAATTAGTAAAATTAATGAATATGAGTCTGGTGGTTATTTAAGGAATTTATATACCTGATAAAATTGAAGATAAAGAAATTCTTGAGTTTTTGGATACTAATTCTGATATATGTTTGAGAGTTTATAGAGTAAATTTAAAATTGTACGAAGATTTGTTATTTGAATAATTAAAATTCCCTTATTTGAGTGATAAAGTCTCACGGTAATTCTACATTTTTAGTAAAGAAAGAAAATAGTATTAAGAGAAGTATATGGGGACAATGAAGACCTTAAGTAGACCTTTAAATAATCATATCTATTATTTTCAACTAATGACACAGACTTAGCGGATGAAATTCAGGAAGGTTTTATGAATCTTTGTGAGGAGAATAGTTAAAAATATTATCATAAGTATTAAATCGGCAGTCCGTTTTTTCAATTTATTATATAGTCTCTTATTGCACTTGGATATGGTATGCTCTCAACTATGACCTAATTTGTAATATTAAAGTTAAGATATGATTTCATTAATAATAATTATAGTGGGGAAGAAGATTAAATGATTAAGTAATTGTTAAATGTCGGCTCTACTCTATTCTCGATGATTACTTTTTCTATTTTTAATAAAATTGGTTCCAAAATTTTGACTTAATTGGCTTTAACTATTTATCAAATTGTAAATTTGTTTAAATATTTAGGGTAACTCATACGAAATGGCAATATTGTAATCTCTTGATTTAAGAAGTTGGAATGTATTTTAAACTTTCTCATAGCAATCAAATTATACTATGCTATAAAATGAAGGAATGATGGATTATTTGATAACATTTAGTTTCTTAAATCTTATTGTTCCAGTAATAACTTAAATTTTTGATTTTAATCATATTTGGAAAAAAATTAAACTGTTAAGGTTAAAAGGAAAAAATACTAATAATAAAACTTAAAAAGAAGCAAACTTATTATTTTAATTAAGAAAAATTAATTTTTATTAAAGACAAATCACTGTTCACAAGATTTTTGCAATAAGCATGATTTTTGGATTCTCATTTCCATTAATTATTCCATTTTCAATCCTTTCATTATTGTTTATATATTTGGTAGATAAATACATATTTATAAATTATTCAATACCAGCTATAAGGGATAGATATGGAGAATTACTACAAGGAATTTACTACATTAACAATATAGTGATAGTATAATATTTTTTTTCGTTTGGTTTCATCGTCTTTAAGACTTGGATTTATATTACTCTATCGATTATCCATTGTTCTATAATAGGTTATGTATTTTTATCATCTATGATAAATTAAGATTGGAATTTTGAAACAATATTTAGTGAGTTTATTGAAAAATAGTATCAAATTAGTGATGGTGAAAAATATTAACTATTTATCAATTTACAAAAAAGACTGAAGAAATTCGCTAAAGTAACAATTTAATAATAACATCTAGAAACCAAAGAAGAGTTAAGTGGTTGCAACTACTAGCTTATTGGAGTGATTAGAATATTAAATAACTTTCATCAATTAAAAAATATTATAAACACATAATTTCATAATACAAAGATATTAATTGATTAGTTATTAGTGAGTTTTACTTCTGAACCTAACTTTAAAGATGAATAGCATTAATAGAAATATTCTTTTTTGTTTATCCGAAATATAATTTAAATTAAAATAATATATCAACAAATTAGAATGTAATCTCTGCGTATTACAAACTACTCAGCAACAGGTTTAACAGTAAAACCAAACGATATTCCAAAAGACGTTTGGAATAATTTTATATGTGATTATCCTAGATGTGGACCTGAAATTCAATTACCCATGGACAATAATAAGAGATACGCTAAGACAGCTGCAGTCTTGATAGCAGCCATAATGGATAGTTTGATTAGTTGGTAAGAAATTGATGTATTGTATGAAATCAGAGAGTAAATGCAGTTAGATAATGAATAAACTAAAAAGATTGTCGCAGACTACAATAAATTTATTAGTTAAATTACTCCATGTTTTGAAAAGGATCAAGGAAGCATTCATTTGAAGTAATAAAGAGAATACATCTATTCACATTTAAACAATTAAGAAGGAATAGAACTGCTGTTTAATGTGTACAGGTGTATTCTATTGAGTTTATACACACAAAAAGCTAGTTCTTGCTTAGTTAGAAATGGGAGAAAGTTATCGAAGTAGGAGGCCATTTTTGAATTGTTGGGCAACTTGGATGAAGACAATCAATTCATTTTGAAAGACCATCATTATATAGCCATATCTACAATATTGGGATTGCCTATTCATTGTTATATCAATTATAGCGATGGACAATAGATGATAAGAAAGAGAATACATCAATTGGCAAATATTAGGTTTACAGTTGCTTTACTATTTGAACCAGGTCACAATAATAAGTCATCAAGATCTGTAAGAATATTATACCAATAACACGATTCAATTTACTTGAACAATTTATTAACAATAGAATAAAATATAAAGAAAAAAAAGAATATTATGCTGGCCATCAATAAAGTTTAAAAGGTCTTAGAATCAGCTGTGATTACAACTGTGCAACATTGTTCAAAAATAGTTGAATAAAAGATAGTCAATCAATTATGGCCTGATGAATTTTATTAGGATCTGTAGATTCTTGTTTAATAATTAAATTTCAAGACTATTAAGTTAGATGAAATATTGTCGACATTAGATTATAATCTCTAAATGCAGTTAGATTCATTCAAAATCATTTTTGAAAATATTAAATCTATTCCTAAATCAAACTCTGAGGTATCTCCAAATAGACAAAAGATATTTTAAAGCACTTATTTTAGAAATCAGTAAGCCATAATCAACTATCAAAATCAGAAAATACAAAAGACTAATGTTGTTTAAATTCAATAGCCATCCTAGTCTCCACTTTTTGAATCCCCAATCAAATAATCATAAATTATTTAACCTCCAAAAACGTATTTATAGACTACTGAGGATAAACAAAGATCTGTATCCCCCTCTTCATTAAATAAAAATATTTCAAGGAGTTTAGAATTTCATGATAAAGCATTCAAATTAAACAAATCCTAAACCAATTCTATATTAAATACTTAATAGATTTAGTAATAATAACAACAATGATATTTTTATTATTATCATAATCATAATTGGCATTTAAAGTTATATATTATTTACAATATTCCTTTCTTGAATATAATTAACACCTATTATCATTTTCACTGCTATTCACAACATGATGTACAGTTCCACTTTCTCTTAGGGTACTGTTTTGTTATAAGGATTTTTAATCTTTTTTCATTATTATTATGATATTAATAAATATTTAGAAGCTTTATATATGATATATGTCAAAAATGAGTATCTTTCAATTCCCATAATTATACGCACAAGGATTTTTAATCCCAAGTTATCAGGTACTTTCCATCTTCACTCATCGAACCGAATATGTAACAAGTGTCGAAGTTTATAGATGATATAAAAATAAACTCATTTTTTTCTGTTCTTTTAATTATATTCACAAATTAAGAATTTTTAGTGATTAGTATCTTTTTTTCTTATGAAAATTAGGCTTAGAATCCCAAATTGTAACTGATCAATCCCTTTTATATTTTAATTTCTTTTGACTTCTCAAACTATTAATTAGAACAATTAAATTCGAATAATTAAATTGTGTTTTTATGATGTTATTAAACTACAAATTGATTCTCATTAACAAAACACAAACTCTCTCCATTTGCTTCGAAATTTATTTTTTGAATTTTATTCCATTTTTAATCAATAGGATAGTATTGCAAAACAATTATTTATTTATCAAGCCCACATACTAAAAACTTATTTTGAGATTCTTGCAAACTCACACATCTAATGATTGTTATATTTTATAAAATAGTCTAAGAATATTTATACTATTAGTTTTTATCAGTGATAATTAAACGAGTACTACTTGAATAAATTTGGTCTTCATCCTTATTCATAATGATATTCTAAATCCTGCTATTATGTTTCTAAAGCTTCATTAAATACTTTGAATGGTTTAAGCTAGTATGATGCCATATTTTAATTTCTCCATCAAAATTTCCTTACAGAATTGAATTAGAGCTTTTGATCTGGCATAACGAAAAAATAGTATCATTTTATATAACTTAGCCTATATACTTTAATTAGTCATTTTTTAATGTAAAAATTACAAATTTTTCGAGCCCAGCTGCAATTACAAGCTATGTATTCGTAAAAATTATTGTATTTAGTGATTCCTTGACCTAATGTTATGATCTTAATGTATGAACATTTTAATTGTTAGTAATATTCATTAATTAAAATTAATTTAATACTTTATCAGGTTTGCTCATATTTTGAAAATCTGGAAACCCTATTGGATAATAAATGTCTTTTTCTGAACAAAATTAAAAGAATTTAATGTCTTCTAAGAATTCTTAAGGGACTACTTAAAGATTCTCGTTTGATTTTGATCTAACTGTAGTGTCTTCTCAAATATTCTATTATCCCAATAAATCTTAAATGTAAAAGAATTATATCCCTATATAATAATAATATCACAATTAAATGATTCTCTGATTAAATTTCAATAATATTTTATTGTATTTATTAATAAAATTCTAGTTAGTAAACTGTATTTTACAAAATTATTTTCTCAATAAATTTGAGAATAACTCTTCCTATAATTTACTCACTTTTATCAAGTAATAAGAAATTGTTTGGTAAAATTTAATATAATTAATAATAAATATTTGAAATGTAAGAGTGGCCTAAGAAATTGTTTTTAGCAATAGCATTCATATCATGTTTTACTTGTTATGCTCGACCAGATTATAATTTACCTCTTTTTGCATTCGCATATCTCCTATGGGACATCGATAGACCAGTAAATTATGTAGGAAAATCAAATAGGTTTCGCAAAAGATTAGATTGATATACTTATTCGTATACTCTTGGATTATTGATTTTGTTTGGTTGGTATATTGGGGTCCATTTTGGAATTCGTCAACATTTTCGCATAATTGGGCGGATGGAATTCAAACATTTGTGTTAGTATTGTCGGTTATCAACTTCATCATTAAGGTAGGATATTGGGTTAAAATTGTAAGTTAGGTACGATAGTGGTGTGCATATTGGCAGAGAAGGAGTGCAAGGATGCGTTGCACCCAGAGAATGCGATGGCTCATGCAAAGAATATTTTTAATAGCGAGGGTTAGCATTAATGAATTACTTAATATAGAAAATTTTGAAAAAAATTAATATCTATTTTAAAATTAATGTCACAATAAGTTCTCTGGGAAGTGGTTAAAGGAAACAATGCCTTTTTGGTTAAGAGAAATGGATTGACATTGTCAACAGACCCATTCAATAACACAGGTGTGTAGACATATAGCAGCACAGGTAATTGGGTCGATGTATTAATTTAAAGGATTCATCAGTAAGAACGCAGTTGGTGTTGTTCCAACCTAAGGAAAAGTGAATTAGATTAATAATATTAATTTGGTCGCAAAGAAGAGCACAAAATTCTAATAAGCTGATAGAAAGGCTAAAAACACTCAATCAGTGTATGCCTCAACCTTGGCTGTTAAGCATGGAGTTCACACTGCTTCCAGAGTAACGAATATATCAATAATCTTAGGTTATCAGAAAGAGATTCGGTACTTCAAGACTTGGATTACAAAAGGCAGCCCTCAGAAAGTTGGTAAAGTTAAACAGAGCAAACGCAGTCAGAAGAAGAAATGAAATAGCTGCCGCTAAAGCTTAAAAGAAATGATTTGCATAATTATCAAAATGATGTACAATATATCAAGAAATAATCATAAATCATTATTATATTCTTCTTTTCCTGAATCGATTTATGTTAATGTAAAATGATTCCCAAAAACATCATAACACATTAAAATCTTTTCATATTAAGATTTCATTTATATAAATATGAGATCGTAAACCCATGCCCCAAAGCCTGACTTCTCCTCCTTGGAATAGCAAGCTCCATCACTGCCAGATAAGAGCATTTCTGAAGACAGCAAGTTATCCCTGGACTTTGTCAATGTGGCAACTCTTAAGGTTCGGTATGATAGATTTGGGAATATGATTGATAAGAAAAAAAGACAATAGCAAGTGTCTTTTAGAGACAGAATAGAAAAGACACAAAAGCTATACGATTTAATAATGTTTGATCAATTTAAACTTGAATTAGTCCAGAAACAGAATTTAAAATAAAGAGAAACCTAAAATTTGTGTTGCTAAATTTAATGAAATTCATAATTATCTATTTTGTTCGTAAATATGTACTATACTTTTAAAATATCATTATTTTTATTATTCTTCATGATGTTCTCTGGCTTATTTCTTTTCAAGGGCAGTCAAATACAAACCATTATCATCTGGGAGTGAAATTAAGGGTTTCTTTCCTTTACCAATAGTGAAGATGTTGTTAATTCTGGTGGAAAAGTGTTTTCCATTTGAATCCTAAGAAAGATTTAGACATCAATCCATACCTTGACATGAACAATATCGAAAGATCCAAGATGTCTCTCTCTGTGTTGAATGAGTCCTACTCTTCCAATGTTGTTTCCTCCTACAATATAGCAAATATTTCCTAATATTGTAATTGCATTGGATTACCTGGTTCTTCCTTGATGAAATCAACAACCTTGCCGGTTTCCAAATCGATTTTGAGAGTGTCATTAACATGAATTTCTGGGTTTGGATATCTGATTGTTCTGGCATCATTGGTAACAATGTAGGGAACGTTGTTTGGTCCAACCTTCTTTTGAGTAACCTTGACAAGCTTGAACTTAGCTTCATCTGGTTTGATGGATTTTAAAATGAATTTTCCTTAGACATCATACAACACTCTATAACTCTCTCTTGTCTTGTCGATGGTAATAACATCTGATTTACGAATAATAAACGAATTAATACCCAACAATCCAACTGGGTATCCGAAGTCAGATCTCACTTTTCCATCAACTTTAATATTGCCATCCTTATCAGCAAGAATCATTTAGACGTCTCTAGCATAGAGAGCGTATTTCAATTTATGTTGCAATATAACAGACAATGGGATTGATTCTCTCAACTTATGAGGTCCTTATGAGGGTCTTGTGGTCCAATTTCCTCCCAACTTTGAAAGCATCCAACTTTTTGGTGCTGTGATTCTTTTCATATGTTTCTTAGGTCCTCTAGCCTAGACAAATAGAACTCATTATCTTACCATGATTGTTTAAAGAAAAAATTAAAATCTTTTTTAATTTAATTCAAAATGTATGTATACATGAGATCCCTAATATCGAAAAATGTTCTGAATTTAAACAATCCCAATTCCAGCAATTCCTGTCTTCACATCAACAAATTATCGTGATTAATATTACTAAAATAATAATATATAATATCATAATGAATCTTCATCTTCGTCCTACTATTCCCCGTCGTCTTTAACATTGAATATTCTAATTGATTATTTATAAGCCTATTTCAACAGGACATACACTCCATCCTCTTGAGTTTTCAGATAATCAACCAGATATCTCACACTTTGCCAAATTTCAACAGATTTAAAATTAATAATAGCAGCCAAATCCCTTTATGTAAATGTTTCCACCAACAACAGAGAATGCTTATCCTAATCCTTTTAATTTTGTCTAGCCAAATAACCAACCTTGATCTCTTCGCTCTCCAACAACTATGCCTAGCACAACCATTTAGCAATATTATTAGTATTATACACTTAGGCAGTACTAAATTAATATACCTAAATACTTACTTAGTTGTAATACCAGCCTAAGACAATAGCGATTTCTTCCAATCAGGAGGTGTTTCGCATTCATTCAATGATTTCACTAACACAGGTTGTCCATCATTATTTTCAGCTTCGACTGTAGTTCTCACAACCACCTTAAATCTTTCCTATCCTGCTCTCACCTCCTCTCCTTTAGCCGCTTTCTCAACCCTATCCTTTACTGAGACTTCTAAATATTTGAAACAAAGATCTTCAGAAAAAAGATATTTCTCAGCTAAATCGTTTTGTTCTGTCTCCTCATCATTTTGTAATGAATTCTAAAAGAGCACTGGTTAATTGTAAGTACTCAACAATTACCAACTCAATTAGGCGATCGTACTTTCCTCACAATAATTTCGTACTGTCTTTTCATCTTCAGGCATATCAACTGTGATGTTCTCATTTATTGTCTGCAATTCCAAGTATGTCAATTCACTTCTGTTTTAAGGACATTTGTCAAAGATATACGAATTGCCCTTCTTAGTTACCAAAATATCCCAAGGATATATCGAATACTTGAGTGTTTAGATTGCAAATAACAATTTGTCAGTTGTGTAGATGGTTGGAATCTCTTCTGTTCCTTACCTTTCAGCTATGAGTTATTTGAAATATTTATCATCTTAAACAGATCCAGAGATAACCTCACCTCCTATAATAGAAATCTTCTTCTCATAATTTGGTCTCACTTTATCAAATTCCTTGTTGTATTTCTTTATTGTTCCTATACTTTGGATCTCTTTGATATCAATCAACGAGTATTGAACCTTCTCGATGTTTTGCTTCTATGTCTCGTGAATACTAATCCAATCAGTTTTAATTGAGATTGAGTCCTTGAATCTGCATTTCTTATACACGATCACTCTCTTAGCAGCCTGTGACATTTTACTCTTCTTTCCAGTTTGATAGTAGGATTGATACACAACTTGCTATTGTTATTAAGGGACAAAGGCGATCTTCTTTTGTGCAGGCTTCTTGACTATTTTCTATCCAACAGTCTCATATTCATCTTCCAAATCTTTTTGCACTTGAGTTTGTTTTGAGAAATCGCAACACCTACTTATTCTTTCCTATCTGCTAAAGGGCTAGAATAATCTGTCTTTGAACTCTTCAAATTAATAATTTGGGTCTGGACAGAAATCAGATAAAGGAGCATAACTCTTTATGAGATTTTGCAAATTGGAATCCATAAATTAAATATTTTATCTAATTTAAATAATTATACAAATTATCCCATCACTTATTAACACTATTGATTAGTTCCTACAGAGCCGAAGCTATTTATGTTATCTGCAAGGATATCGATCTAGATAATAGAATTTATTGGATACTCATAGAACTATTGACCATAATCCAAATTTTGGAAGGCTTCAGTAATTGTCAGCAGCGAATTCTCAAATTCAGCTTCATCTTGATTTGCAATATCCATAAACGTCGTATGCTATGTCAATTGATTCGAAGCCTCTTCTAATTAAGTAAGATTTATTGATTAGAACTATCATAATTACAAGCTTTTCTTACTATAGCATTATAATCATTAATCTTCTAGTTGATGATCTTCATAACCTATTGTTATAAAAATTAATCTAGTCCTGTGTTCATACTTTTATCCAATCTCAAATCATCAATGTACTTCTCTAAACTCGCTAATTATTGTTTTATCAGTTCCAACTTATTGCTGATAATCTCAATAGACAATGACAAAGTTCTCAAATTTTGAATATTCTGCCTGTAAAACTTTTACGACTCTTACAAAGAAGTTTGTATTTTGCTACTAATCATCTAATTGTTATTTTATTCAACAAATAATAATTGATCCCTCACTTTTTGCACCTAGTCCTCATTGTTTTTGTTAATGTAACTAGCCTCTAGGAGTCTCTTCTGCACATCTAGACGAACATTAAAACCTTAAAAATACCATCTAGCACTCTTTTAAAGACCTCAATTTATTGTTGACTTAATTGTTTCTTTCCCTGCTCTGCGTTGCCTTCATTTTAAGACTGCTGTTCAATCATGTTCTTTATTTTAATCAACTGCCTTCCTTAATCCTATTACAATTGATGAATTTTATTGATCTATTGTTAATAGCCTTTCCAACCACCCCTTTCCTTGATGAAGTTTACCTTCTCTTAAATGGAAGGTGTTAGTTTCAAAGATTCAGCATTTTAAAATGCGTCTAACATAAATTGTAGATTATATTTGTTGAATATGGTCGTATAAGTATTTTAGAACTCAACCAATTTCTAATTTGCCTACAACTTTTTTGAATTGATCTCCTCAATTAGCTTTATTACACCAAGTCTCTTCTCATCCTCTTGCTTCTGCTTTTATTCATAATTCTGATCGTAAACATCAGGTGCTTTGGGCTTGATCAAATCTTGCTTCAGAGGGAGTGGCAACAATTCATACTCTTTGGCAATCGGGTTCTTGTTCACCTTGTCATTCAAGTAGACATACTCCTTCTTTAAAATTGCAATTTAAGGTCTAGCACTTTAAATAAATGGAATTACTATTGTGTAACTAGGAACTCATTTTTTTATTTATATTTTTTGAAGATGGTTGCTATGGCTGATTCAGCCTTATTGATATAAGCTATTGCCTTTCCCATTCTCTACTCTTTGGGGAACTCTTTGGCTGTCTCTGACATCAGTTTTCCCAAGCCGATGTATAGAATGACCTCCGATATTGTGCTATCATTGGTTAGTTTCTCCAATAGTTGATTGTAAATAATTGGTGGAATCTATTTTTTGTTGCATTACTTGGATTATATCAAATATCGTATTGCCGAGTCATACTATTTATTAGCCTCCTGCAGAAGACTGAGACTGTCCAGTTATTCCTAATTCCCCTTTTGAGTTTTGAAATGATCATAGAGCTTTTTATATCCAAAAGCTTGTGCCTAAATGTGGAACACGTAATCATTACATAACTATTCAACATGTAGATGTGAACAACTGAGAGATCTGAGTGTTGCTAGACAATTTTAGAATTAATAAAGGGCAAGACTTCTTGCAGTCTTTGATAACTCCAAAGCATGTTTCGAGTTTTGTTTAGAGAAATTTTGATTTGCTGTTCATTCTGGGCCTGATGGTAGTACAGGATGCCTAAGTTGTATAATTGGCATGCATATTCGTAATGCCATTAATTTGATTAAGTGAATTTATTCTAAAAATATGTCTATCTGACTTACAGGCTCGTAGGAATCATTCCAAGAGAAGGTAATTTCCTCTTGGAGAGGCTGTTTCAGAATTTCATCCAAAAGTGTCAAATACTCGAGCAATTGTTTCTCCAACTGGGAACAGGCCTCAAGATTCCCCTTTAAACAATCTTACTGTTGAAAATTGAGCAATCTCTTGCGACAATCATCAATGGTGAGCAGAGTCTGATTCTATTTTTACACATTCTTTCATACATTCGATTAGGGGAATTTGGTTGGCTTGGCTTACTTGAAACGAAACCCAAAGTTCATGTGAATTAATTATATTATTTATTTTTTATGATGAAGGTTTGATTTAAGATAGAATAAAAAATTTCCAAATATTTAATTTAATGAAATAAAATAGAGTTTCTATATTGACCAAATAAAACATCAGATATGAAGGGTCTGTTTATGCAATAGACAAAATTCGAAAAACAGTATTCCTCAAAGACGTGAGGTGTATGGGAACTGAGAACAGAGAAGCTGCGATTTTCATCCCTCCATCAACAAAAATCACTCAAATGGCTGAGTTCACGAATGAGCAGATTTTGGAGATCAAAAAATTAGTAACTGCTTTTTCTCTATTTGCAAGAACACCAATGACTTCCCAGAACATTTGCCCACTGCTACCAAAGAACATACTCAAAGTTCTCAAGATCAAAAATTGGCATCTAAAATATTAAACCAAAGTTGCACCTACGAAGTTACCAGATCGCCTCTGCCCAAGATAACAATGAAAAAAAATAGACACTTCCTGTCGCAAAGTCCTGATCCAAGGAAAATGGACTAGAAACCTGTTTATATTACAAATAATTATTTATAATTGAAGAAAATGGAATAATTCAAAAAAATGCTTATGTTCAGACAACACAGATGAGGTTGTATATTTTAATTCATGTGATATTTTTGAAATTCTCACACAATTATACATTATTTTTATTATCTTATGGGGAATTGCCAATGTCAATCAGCTGAAATCCAAAAGACCGAAGAAATGCAGCCTCTCGAATTCAAATAAGAGAACTGTAATAGTTTCGAGGATCAACAATTACAGTTTTGCCAGGCTCAACAAATATTATAATAAGAGACCATTAAGTCCAATAATGAAACCTCTGATGACACTCATCGACCTAATCCATAATTAGTGTGGCAAACACAAACGTAGTTCACCACTTATAATCTCATAGTTCAGGTAATCTTGTCTAAAAGTAAAATCTAAGAAAATTATGGATGAATTGGGCCCCTTCGAATTAAATGACCAGGAAGGCTATTTCTATGGAGTCTATGAATAAAAAGATGGTTCACTCTATAGAGGCTGTTGGCATCAAGGCCAAAAATTTGGATATGGTACTTCAACACAATTCCTATCACTTTAGGATGCTTAATCTATCAAGACGGCTCCATCTTTTAAGGCCAATGGAGAAAGGATAAGGCAAATGGCAAAGGACGAATGATCTACACTGACGGTGACTGGTACGAAGGTGATTGGGTTGATGATTTAAGTTATATTACTGTTATTTTTTAGAACATGGCAATGGAAAATATGTACATTGTGATGGAACCGTCTATCAAGGAGAATGGTAAAATGATTGCCAGAATGGGCAAGGATAAGAATAATTTATTGACGGATCCACATATAAGGGACAGTTTAAAAATGGCAAGAAGAACGGATTTGGCCATTATGTTTGGATTGATGGATAAAGTTATGAAGGCCAGTTTGAATCCAACTACTTTTATGGTTTTGGGTATTAAATTCAGTATTATGAATCAGAAAATATGTGTGGACTGATGGCAGATAATATGAAGGTTAATGGTTAAATGGAAGTATGAATGGAAATGGCATCATGAAATGGCCGGATGGCAGAAAGTATGAAGGATAATATTTTAATGACAAAAAGCATGGCTAAGGAGTCATAGAATGGCGTAATTTGTGTATATTTAATGTAAGGTAGCTGATGGTAGGAAATATTCAGGATAATGGGAATTGGGAAAACAACATGGAATTGGAGAATATTTTAATGGATAAATTAAAAAAAAAGGTTAATGGAACTATGGTAAGCGACTCAAATGGTTGGATTGAGACAATATAGATATTAAGAATCTTTATTTGTTAAAAAATCCCATGTTTCTTTTTTATTTTTCTTCAATATTCCAATTATTTTATTTTATTGCATACAGACAATATAATTAATAAACCACTTTTGAAATAGTAGGGTAATAATAATTGTGAATTTAGATAAGTTGTAATAAAAAATAATTTTATCCTCACATTAATTTTCATCCTATGAACTTTCGTCCAATTTAATCTATGTGAATTCACTTATTATTAGTATTTAAAGTATCTAGAGTAAGAAAATAATATGTTACCAATATTTGTTAAAAATTTGATTATTGATTTAATTAATTTAGTAATAGAAATAATAATAATAATTATTAAATGACTATTAATAATTATTTACATTTAAGGGGTTATTTTCAATTAGCAAACTTATTAGATTTTAAGGTAGAATAATAATTTTACTATTAAATTTGATCATATATCGAGTGTTCTAAAATAGAAATTTTCTATAAATTACTTATAATTATAAGTTGTAGATTGAAATAATCATAAGTTACACTTTAAGATTAATTTGAGAAATAAACTCAAGGACTAATTAATAATAATATTTTGTAATCTTTAAATATATAAAAATAAAGTCAAAAACAAAATCTAATAAATGTATAAATGTTAAAAGTAACACAGTCCATGAATCTTTCTTTCCATTAATTAAATTTAAGATGTTTACTCCTGTTTATATTTACTAATAGCTCTTGCAACTCCTTTTTATTTAAACAAAATTAATAAATTTGTTTTATAATAAACCCTAAAATTTATTATTGAGAGTATCCTTTATGAAAAATTCCAATCCATTCATTAAACTTAGGAGTGTTGCAGATAAGATCCTTATAAATTAAAATTTGACGAATTTCTAATAGGAGAGAAGCTATAATTTTAATCATAGTTTATTTTATGCTCAAAACTATTCATGATCTAAATATCACATGTATTAAATAAAAATACATTACATTTGATGATATTATCAAAAAAATTGATTGAGGTTCTATAAATGAGTCTTTGATAATATTTTGTTTGTATTAATTTATTGAGCTAATATTCTATTACTCAACTTATAAAGGAGATATGAATCAAATCTTACTCTGAACAAGCAGCAAATCGATTTCTTCTTTGAGAGCAGGAGGATAGTGATATTAATAATCTAATTTATAATATATTAATTTAATGGATAAACTCGATAAAATAATTGCCTAATTAGATGAATTGGAAATTAGTCAAAAGCACAGAGAAGATTTGATTAAGCGCAATCAAAGTTCCTAAATACTAAAGTTACCAAAAGTATGATCGAATGAGTATTATAGGTGATTCTAATTCAAAGAATTTGTGGATTTTTAGATGATTAGGATCTATATAGATTTACAGCTACTTGTTCATCAATGAGAAAGATAATGTTTTGTCCCTTGGGATTTAAATTATTGACCTTGAGTCGAAATGCACAACATATTGTTGGGGGATCCAAATAGCAATAATCACAACTCAAGAAAGAAAAATAGGATGTTGTTTCAAGCGGGAGCATTTCAGGGAATAATAGTGTATTTGATTCAGAAGAAGATGCATTGGCTCAATTATAAGCCTTGAAATCGGTGAAGGAATTCTTAACTTCTAAATTGCAATCCTCATAAGCGCAAATATAAAACTTGGAGGATTTGATCACTGATTCATCAGACACATTGAAATACGAGAAATCAGTGAATTTGAAATTGCAATCCAAAATCAATATCTTGCAAAACCAACTCTCCATTTCTGAATTGCAAAGACAAGATGTTAAGGAAAACCTATCTGAATTAAATTCTAAATACAATAAAATAGTAATTCTCATTTCAAACTTAGATTAGCCAAATGGAACAGGACAGGATGGTGATCCAAGATGAAAAAGACAAATTGTTGGGTCACAAGAAGGTACTTATCCAAGAAGTCTATCGATTGAGAGGATAGGTTTCGCAAATGGAAGAGGATCAAAACAACTACCAATCAGCTCTAAAATAAGTTAAATCCTTTATGGATACAATTGAATTGAAACCAATTTGATTAAGTAATTTATCAATATGATTCTAATTCATTTAATTTTTCGAAAATTACTAACTTAAAGTTGTAATTAGTTATATACTTATTTTATGCTCCTTATTGATAAAATTAGATTCAAGCAAATATTACATTTAAAGAATTTTTATTATTTATGGAATACGAATTACCATCCTTATCTGAGCCTTTTACTTGGATCACATATGCGATTCTGGGAACATTAGTTGGCCTGGCTCAAGCAGGAGGAATAGGGGGAGGTCCCATTGTTTCACCTGTGATGATGGTTTTGCTGGGATGTTCGAGCAAGCAGGCCATCTGGAACACCTACATTATGTTATTCGGAGGAAGCATAGGTAATTATGCTAGGTTGGGGAGAGAGAGAGTAAGCATCAGTTTAATTTGGTAATTAGATTTCGAATGGGAGTAGTCCATTAATCAATTACCAATTAGTATAGATAACACTTCCATTGCTTTTAGCAGGAGCCATTTTGGGAGTTGCAACTGGGAAGTGGTTGCCAAAAGTGGTTGTGGTGATATTTTTATTTGCCATTTTATTAAATGTCTTTCTAAAGACGAAGAAAGTTTACAAAAAGATTAGGGAAAAAGAATAGAGCGAACTCCTATAATAAGTGGAGATGAAGGAATTAATGTTAACCGATTACAGTGCAGTGCCATAAGATTTATAATAGATATTGGAGAATGAATCAAAGCTTTATCCTATTGAAAATCTAAAAGAGATAGGCTTCTCAGTGATTATCGTAGTTGCATTAACTTTATTGAAAGGAGCTGCAACCATTCCTTCAATACTGGGAATAGGGTACTGTGGATTTGAATTTCATTTCATCAATTTCATCATTTTTGGAATAGGATACTATAATGTGTAAAGGTATAGGAAGTGGATTAAGAAGGATGAGGAGTTGAAAGAGTCTTTGGGATATGATTTCTCTGGAGGGAAAATAAGCGAAGTATTTGGAATTACCGTGAAATCAAGTATGAAGGCAGGCTTCTTAGGAGGGTTGGTTGGTTTAGGAGGAGGAGTGGTATTAACACCCATTTGGCTTGAAACTGGAATCCATCCTCCAAGGGCTGCTGCCTCTGCTACTTTTACTGTAATGTTTACTTCATTTATTTCTGTGTTCATAATAGCATTGTCTGGAGGGTATCATTTATCTCAGTTTTTGATTTTGGCAGTAATAAATTCATAAGAGTTATTAGAGTGTATCTGGGTGCGGATCTTATTTGATTGCAGGGATCTTAAAAAAGTTAGTTAAGAAATATAAAAGAGAATCAATTATTATTCAGGTGTTACTAATTGTAATTGCCTTTGGATTGGTTGTTTTACCTCTCTAATCAATTAAAGACGTATACTATAATCCACTTTCATCTTTATAATTTGGTCGCTTATGCTGAGAAGATTTTTGATAAAGTAAATGAAAATTTCAGAAATCTCATAATAAATATAATAAAGTCACATTCTAACAGTGGAATCATACATTCTTCTTTAGTCGATTTGCTACTTCAGATGAGCATTCTCTTCAGTCAATACACTGATTTATGTATTGTAGGCTGCCTTCAAGTTACTTATTTAATATGAATTGGAGGCTTCCAATTTATTTTTCAGGTCTTCCAATTATGTAAACTACAATATTATACTATGATTACCTTCTCTTTCTCTAAAGCCAACTATCTCTATTTGAATTGTTCGATATCATCTCTAGCTCTCCTTAAATCTTTGTCTAAAAGACTTCTTTGATTTGCTAGATTTTCATTATCTTATTCTTTGACTGAGAGAGCTTCTCTTAATCTTTTAATTTCTAATAGTTATTGTTCTTAGGAGATGTCACTTTATCTGAGCTTTTCTCTGTATTGAATTGTCACTCTATCATTCTTCGATTAGAGATCTTGGATTTCCTAATTCTTAGAACTAGTTATTGACAATATTTCTTATTTCAAAGAATGGATCTCATCTTTCAATCTTCTGATGTCATCCTCTAATTATCTCTTATGTAAGTTAAATTAAGCAATTAAAGATTCTTAATCTTTTGTTTTTTGTGATAACATTTCTTTAAGTCTTTCAATTTCACCTTCCAAAAAGAGAATTTACAATTTCTATTAATCGATATTCTCATTCAGAAGTGCTGTTGATTTTTAGAATTGATCATCTAATTCATTGATTTCATTATTCTTTTACTTTTCCTATTCGAAAGTAATCAATTTTTGATTTTCAATCTCTCTTCTAAGATCAATAATTAATTATTCAAGTTGTTGTCTTTGAATATTTTTCTCATCAATTTAGATTTATATCTATTGATTTTTGTGTTCAATGATTCCCTTCAAATCATTAATCTCTTTTTCCAAATTATTAATTTATGTTTGATAATAAGATTTCAATGTATCCTAATCTCTTTAGTGCTAGTTCTATTAATCTTTGAGAGAAGTCTCAAGAATCAATCTTGCCTATCTCTCTTAATCCAGTAGTTTCTACTTTAAGATTTGGATCTCAGTTCTCAGATCATTAATTTAATCTTCAAACATTTACTTATTTTTAGCATTTTATCCAAGTAGTGTTTCGATTTCAGCATTCTTAATCTCAAGCAATCCCTTAAGTTTATCGATTTCACATTGTTAAACATCTGATTATCTGGCGAATTCATGTTTCAATAATTAAATCTATTGTTATGAGAAGTTGTTTAGATTGTCATTCAAATGTTCCAATTCTCTTTGCTTTTCTGATTCTTGTTGGTGAATTTTTACTCTAAGTAATTCATTTTCTTTCAACAATCTTTCAATTTGTATATCGTCTTCAGTTTTTTATCTCAATATCTTTTATTGAAGATCACTGATTTCGTTGTTTTACTCCTCAATATGATCTCTTAGTTTTCTAATCTGACTCTCACTTATTTCTGTTTGTAAATTAGCAGCCTTCTTGAGATTCTCGAAATCTTGATTGGATTGACTCTCGATTTATCCAGATATTCCAACTAATTGTCGTTATCTTTCAGCTTCTGCCTGAGATAAGACAGCTCCTAATTTTTGTAATTCAGCATTGAGTTGCTTGATTTCGAACTCATAATTGGATTTCATCTACAATATCTATTGCAATTGATTTTCATATTTGGATTTCCATAAGTCAGCGTCAGTTTTTCTCTACCTTGATAACTTGATGAGTTTCTCATTTTCAGTCTACAACATATTGTTTTCTTTAATATAGGATTCAACGTTGGCATCATTCGTTACGATGTCATGGGCTCTTCTCTACAATTATTATTATTCTTCAAACAACAGTCTGTTCTCTGTTTCTAATTCTACACACTTGGCCTTTAAGAACTCAATTTCTTAGACAAAAGACCTTGTATCATGTCTTTGTGGGGATTCTCTAATCGATGAATACATTAAATTATTAACGGATGAAAATTATTATTAAAATTTAATTCGCATTTTGATGTTATAAATATATCACTCTAATTATTCAACAAATTCTCTTAGATAGTTAATCAGTAATAAATTATTAATTTAATCTAAATAACACTATTCATTATCAATTTCGATTGCAATTTGCATAACAAATTTATTCTCCATATAGTATGGACTATTTTTAAAAATTTCAGGCTGTAATTAGATATTTCCTTCTTAACTGTAATGTTAGATATTACGGTTTTCTATGAAGATTATATACCATTCAATAGAAACAAATTGTTTTATTGAACAACTCTTTGAAATCTACTACATGAACGTCATTAATTTAAAAAAACCTTATAAATACTAACTTTATATATTTCAAAATCAATTCTTCAGTTTCTTGTAAAAATTGAGTTCATCTTCCTCGTGTATATTCAATAGGCTTGATAAATTTTAAAACGAATATAAATATTGTCAGCATTAAAATTATTTAAATAGTGTTTTGGTCAACGAAATTTATCGGCTGGCTTGTAGTCACTTGATATTTGAGAGTGTTTCCTTATTATAGCAATATTTCGATAAACTTATTAAGGAGAAGTGATTTGATAATTATTGATAATTTATAATTAGAATTGAAACACATTTTTTATCTAGGAAATTCTTAAAATGTTCCAGTTATAATAATAAATAAATTCTGTTTTCTTAAAATAACTTTGTAAACAAGAATGGCTAATTGATCCTCTAGATAACTAAATCCTCTTGTTTTCCATTCCATATCTCACTCTTTTAAAATATAACATGTAAGTCTTATATTACTTCTATATTCAGGAGAAAAGTTCATTTTATTACTTTCAACTATTTTAATTCACATTATTTTAAAAATCACTCTATTTATTAATAATACAATTAGAGATTTTTTACACATAAAAAATGAGATTCTATAGTTAATAATTATAATTAAAATTCTTCCAAAAGCCAAATTATCCCAGAAGGATTCCAAACATTCTTAATAATATTACTAAAAATAGAAATATTATTATAAATATATTGAGCATCTAGTGATTCTCAGATTGTCTTTTATTCTCAATAAATTGTAGTTATTGATAATTTATTTCATATGTACAATTTGGAAAGACCAATACCGCTGAAGTGGACAAACGCAAAAGAAAAATAATAAACAGTTTCAACGATAGTTTCTAATACATTACTATGTATATAAATTCATACTATAAATTCATACTTTACCTTGAAATTGTGTATATATAAATAAATTAATCAAAATGCAAAAACTTTCACAAAATCAAAGTGTTGAGCAACAATTTTATATTAAATCTAGGTTGATTCATAATCTCTAAAACTACCTAGTAAGTAATGAGAAAAAGAAAGAGTGTTTAATCAAAGGAAATCCCCTGAACCCCAATTTATTCCTTAATGAACAATACAAACTAAAAATACATGGTCTTTAAAACAAGCCGCTTCATTCTTTAGCTGTCTTATACAAAAGTCAGGTAAAAAATTGAATATCTGATTACTATATATAGTATATTCTCACTTAAAAATTAATGAATATTTAAAAGAACAAAGTTCTCATATAAATTAATAATTTTATATATAAGTTAGATTTTCATTAATTGCTAGAAAAAGATACAAACATAAAATTGGAATGCTTTAAAATAAAATTACAATGTTAAATTAGAATATACTTACACCTTTTGCTATCTAAACAATTTTCAAATAATTTGGATGATGAGCTTCTTTGTTTCCAAATTATTTAATATAATTTACTTAGTATAAATAATATTATAATGGATTCCTCAACTTTTGTTGGTTTGACCAAGCCTTACAATTTATAAATATGACTTACCTACATTATGCTCTTGATGGTGCGTCATTTGATCTCTCATTGTCTATTAAGAACCTGTCCTTCACTTCAGACAAGTGACATGATTATAATATGATAATTCTTTCCTTGAAAGGCCATGGTATCAATTTCTATATAATCTAAGAGTTAAGGGTTGAAATTATAGAGATTTTTTATAATTTGACCTAAGCTTGACATGAGGTAATAATTGAAATTTGTTTTTCATTTTGGTCATTGTAATCCTCTATAAATACCAAACTAAATAGGAGATACAACAGGCCCCGCACTAATTGTAGAGCAAATTATTGCTATTTATTTGATTACCAAAATAAACATCGAAAAATTTTAATATTATTGAAATTATTCAATTAGTTTGTTAATTATGAAGGAAATCTCATTACTTACTTACTGATTTCGAATCTTAACCCTAATTATTTTAGAAAATTGATAAGAGGCATAGCTAAGATTTTACATTGATTGACACTGGGGCTATGAGAGCATTTTATAAGTTTCTCATAAAGACTACTATTTTAACTTTTTTCGAAAGCTTTTGGTTATCATAAATGAAGGTTGGCGATTATCACCATTGAGTAATTATTTGTAATTATTATGCATGCAGATGATGATCAGAAAAGTTCAGAATATATTGGAATTACAGTGATAACACAAGGATATGTATTTATCCTCCATATATTATTTAAGCAAGCAGGAAGCAGTTCTTGAATTTAAACAAGAGTTGGGTAGGGTATTCTTAAATTTTATTCTGAGTTTCAAATGTAAACCAATACTGTCACTGAAAACTATTAGGGCCTATATCATCATAAAAATCTCTTGAGTCAAAAATCATCTCATTCATAGCTTTTGCATAAGAGAATTCTTTATTGGTTTCTCGAACTCTCTGATAACCTTCCTTTAGGATCAATTAGATTTGCATCGTTTTTTAAGGAATCCTTCTGTAAGTTACAATTGATTAATTTGAAATTCAGAGGTTAATTTCATCAAGACATGAGGTTAATGCATTTTAAAGGTTGCGAAAAACACCTCATGTCTTTAGATTTCACAATTTGAGAAATACTATGAGTTCAAAGAAATAAAAGATGGTTCTCAAATCTGCCAAAATTTGATTAGGTTACAATTCCTCTAAATCCTGATTTGCTTATGGATTCTTTGAGTTAATACATGTTTTATTTATTATCATCATGTTCAATAACAAATTGGGTATTTTAAGAGAACTTATGACTCTTGCATTCTATTAACATAAATTATGTGTTTTATCTAATTAATTCTAATGATATATATGATACTTAACAAAATTACATATTTTCTTTCAAATATGATCTAGTAGTGGTCTTTCATTTAATATTTTGCTCGATTGAGTAAGGATTAAACAAATAATTGACACTCTCTTATTCGAATTTGTAATTGTTTAAATATTTCATATAATTTCTTAATTGATGCTGTAGTTTCAGGAGAATTTAACCTGGTAACATTAGGCGAGGACTTTTAGGTACATGGCATTGCTGAATTCATCAAAATTTTGTTGTTGTTCCCTGTATTAGTAAGTTGAATTGACTTTATTCTTGAGGTTATGTTCATTTGATTAGATGTGTTTTTTAGTTTATTTTGTAGCTGAAACTATAAACAAAAAATAGCTGATCAACATAAATTAAAAAATAAAATAACTTTATACTCAATCTTCATTATATTATTTTCGGCATTGTCTCAAGAAAACTTATTCCAGATTCGCCTATTTAATAGTAAATGATCCAATCAAATCTTCTTAACATAAATTTTTCAGAATCCTAATTGTGGTAGGGACATCATATTCATTACCCAATTTTATGACTATCAGTAACCCTTCTTTTTGATGTTTGGGAAAAGCCAAGATTACTTAATCTAGAGCTTCTTTATTTTTTGCTCGAATGGTTAGTAAGATCCCACTACCATATTGTTCAATCAATTAGGCAGTACTCTACTGGGGAAAGGGCTATGATCCATTGATGATGAAACTTATGCTATCACTTAAATACTGAGCCTCGTCCATATCATGAGTAGTCAGAATGATAGAACTATTTCGTTTTTGGACATGGGCTTAGATCATGTTTTAGAGATTTCTTCTTGAAATAGGATCTAGTCCATTGGATGGCTCATCAAGAATGATGATACCACTATCACCAATAAGACTTATGGCCAAGGCAACCTTCCTCCTCTGGCCACCAGACATATTCACTATTTAACCCTTGATGGATAGAATCCTTAAGATCTACGAAACTTCATTTTTCACATTCCTAATACTCCCTTTGATTTTGGCAAATAGATGCAGAATTTCCTATGCTGTCAGATCTTCCCAAAGACCTTCTGATTATTAGCAAGATGAAATTATTGTATTTTCGTTGTACATAATGCTTCCCCAATTAGACTTAAGACAATCAGTGATCAATTGAATGAGTGTAGTTTTGCCAGCTCCATTAGGACCGAGCAGAGTCAATATCTTCTACGGAAACAATTACAGATCGATTTACTTCAATACTTGTTTATTTTGATTGTATCCAAAATGAATATTTTAAATCAACAATTTATTGTTCCTGTCTTATAAATCCTATCTATTTTCAAATAAAACAAAGTGTTTTTCTAAGGTATAATAGATGAACATGTAAAAGATGAATTAGGCTATAAAATATATGGTATATTCCTGTCGATTATCCCTCAAAGCCGAATTTAAGGCATAGAGAGGGAACATGTAAGTAAATACTTCACTAAGTTGGTTTTGAAGTTGAAGATCTATCATGGAAGGTAGGAGATAGCAAAATAAAAAGTTAATAACAGGGAATATCTTGACAGCACTTTGATTAGAACTGAACATGAAGGATGCTGCGTATGAGAATGAAATCACCGATAATCCGAATAAGCTTAGGATAATCAGCAACTGTTCTGAACTAAGGAGCATTTCAACTTGGAGTGATAGAACGTAGATGAATGTAATTACAATCAATATAATAAGGTAATCTCCAAGGAATGTGCCAAAGATGTAGGTAAATTGGGACATTCCCATTTGTTTTAATTGTTATCTAATTTTGAGTTCTCTTTCAAGGATGGGTGTATTGATGAATATCGACGAATTAAGGCTGAATGATTGTGATATGAATATAGAGACGAACACTTAAATCTAGGTTTGGCCTTACAATAAATGATATCCAAAAAGATAAGCAAGCAATAAGGTAAGCATGGGCAAGATCAGCATCAGTTACAAAGTGAAGTTCCTTTTGAGAACATAATACTTCTTTTATAGCAAGGCAGATATTTAGAGTAATTACTTAGTTTTGATATCATAGGTAGATTTAATTGGGAATGAGTACTCTTTGATTATTTTATCATCCTCTAAGTTGTCTTTGTTTAATTTTAGATAGGCTGCTTCTAAGGTGTTCTGCACTAACTAGATTTTAATATTTTATGTTTTGCTCAATTCATAAACCTTCTCAACAATTGAAAACAATTGATTCTAATTGAGAATGTACTTAATGTTGTCATATTCAAGTTGGGATCCACTTGAACACTCCAATTCATTAAATAATTGTTTTATTTGGGATTGCTATTCTGAAGATTGAATGTTCCCAAAAGTCAATGTGAATCCTACTTCCAATTCCTTTTTGATGTTTTCAGGAGATCCATAAATTTTGATTTATCCTTGTTTCATGATGGCAATTCGATCAGCCAATTCCTCAGCTTCATCTAAGAAATGAGTAGTCAAGATAAGCGTCTTATTGATTTGTTTGATATCCTTCAATATCTTCCAGATTTGTCTTCTGGACTCAGGATCAATACTAGCAGTGGGTTCATCAAGGAATATGATTTAAGAGCCACCCACCAGAGCCAAGGCAATCTATAACTTGCGTTTATTCCCCCCACTCAACTCATGAGTCTTGTAATTGGAGTACTGTTGCAATTACATCAGGTTCAACCACTTCTCAATTTCAGAAGAGGAATCAGTGCCTCTCATCATACATTAATATTGCAATGATTCCTAGACTGTCAATTGATCATACAGCAAGTTCTCCTGAGGACAGAATCCAATTAGCTTTTGGATTTCATCTCTTTTCTTGTCGAAACTCTTGCCAAAATATAAGATCTTGCCACTAGTTTTTTCAAGCAATCCAGTCAATATGTTGAGGGTGGTAGTTTTGCCAGCTCCATTCTACCCCAAAATACAAAGGATTTATTGAGAATAGATCTTGAGATTCAAATTGTCAACTGCCACCACATCTCCGTATTACTTAAACAATTTCACAACTTCAACTGATGTAAAGGCTAATCCCTCCTCATCATATTATCTTCTCATCTTTATATATTCTACATAGTACCTCCATTTGATCCTCCATTTAGACATAACCTGTCTTACTCTACCTTGTCCATAAGCATCTCCCTCCCTTGATGCATTATTCTTCCAAAACATTAAACAAAAAACAATAAGCTACTAGATGGACTGATAAACTCAGAACACTATAACTAGTGACACTCTCTAAATTGCTGCCATTTAGCTTATTCATCAGGTAAAATGAAATGGTTGATTATGGACAAATGTACACTAAGTATTCCATTTAATATAAAGATGCAAAGTAGAATGTAGATAGGATTGTCTAAAAGAAGGATCCGAATTCTCCAGCCAATTGGGAATTACTGAAGAAGGTAGACAATAACAAAGTCTATCCAACTTATGCCAAAATAAATAACATAAAGCAAAACACTATTTCAAGTGATTGTTGCAAATTCAATTTATACAGCAAAGTTATGAGTATCATTAAGCCTATGATTACACTTTTAATTATATATGTAATAAACCAAGCTATCCTATAATTTTGTAAGTTCATGCCCATAATCTAATTCTAAGAATAACATATACTTTATATAGATCTCTGTATTTATTCGTCTTCTCATGAACATATTCTACTAACAACTGTCTGCATAAACCAACAAAGCAAGATGGAATGTAAACAGGCACCATGATAGCCATAAACAACTTCCCTGTTCCTTGATCACCTTCATGCACCATCAACAACACGAACACTGTTATTGAGGGGATGAAGAGCTCTTTGCCAAATTCCTTCATGTTGGTCATCTTCATGTTTTTCCACAAAATGGCCCATATTTAATTGTTAAAATGCATTATTGATGATAATAGTTATATATATTAATCATTTGATGTTTACTATGGTACTAATAGAAATTAAATTATTACACATACCTGATGATATGATTGTTCATGGTCAACTCGAATGTATCAGAATTCACATTTCTAGTCTTCCCAATTAGATAGACTCCTTTCTACAAATTATTTATGCTCTCAATCACCTTTCCTTTCCCTAAAAACAATTAAAAAATGAAAATACTTTCGACATTATCTATGATTTCAATTATGGGTTCCAAATGAATAGGCTGTATCCCTAACACAGTCACATCTACATAAAATGACTTTTCGCTCAAATCAATTTGCACCTATTTCCATTCATCCTCTTTATATTGATGATCCAAATAATCTCTCCTTAATTTCTCGTAATAGTTGCAGTAGAGCTCAGGAATATACACATCATAGAAATCTCTCTCCTCTCCTTCCTTGGCCAATACAATAGGCTCATTCTAAATCACAGGCTGTTTCCCCAAGAGTGTCTTAAATATCTTAGAATCGTTCTCTTTGATGTTCTCAATGATGGCCTTTGGATCCTTGGCTGTTATTGCCATCCAATAACAATCATCAAAGCGAAATTGAGCAAACTGATTGAGCCTCTTAATTTCCGCCTGTTTACATGCATATTCAAATTGGGACTAGAAGAGCAGAGTGACTATGGTTTTCTTGCTAAACTAATTGAGACCATTCACTTTCTCTTTCAATTATTCAATAAAACAATGGATCACATTCGAAAATATAAAGACAATATCCTTTCCATTCTAATTCTCTTGTGGCTAAGCATCAATCTCCTACCACCCAACCTATTTGGCACTTAAATCACAATTGTAGATCCTCAAGTTGCAATTGTAATCATCACACAACTCATCCAACACCTCCTGATCTGCTTATTCTAATTGCTTTACATTTTTGATTCCCAACATAATCTAACAATTCATATAATGATCCAAGAATTCAATTATCTAGGCTTTATTATGCTCATCATCACTAGTCGCTAGTTCGATTATGAACTTCAATTGATTTTGTTCACTGCAATCAGGTTGAATGACATATGGAAAACTGTAATTAGTTGAACAATATGCATCGAAATCTGACTAGAATTACCCATCATCAAAATTATTGAGAAAGAGGTACAACTTGGATTTCTCCTTATAATTAAAGTACTCCACAATTATCTTATCCTGCAAAGTCTCAACCCTGTGATCTTTGATAATCCTCAATTGTTTCATGTCCTATTGTTCCTCCTCCGATGATTGAGGGTCTACCAATTGGAGGAGTTCTTGTTGCTCAATCTGCTATTTGATTGGCAAGATCACATGGGAATCAATTTTTTAATTATTCTAGACAGGCAAGATCTCTTTGGAATCCACCTTTTCTATTATACTGATGTCTTGCTGTATCAATTAACTGTCGATCTATTTATCAATTTCACTGTAATAATAACTATTAGTCAATCTCGACAGTTGGTTGTTCTCTTCACTCAACTACTTTTATCTGACATACTGCCATTATGCTATCTCTGTAAATATGAAATCATTTTTCTGGAGATTATGAGTAACTCTCTTCAAGATCTCTGTGGCAAAACACTAATCCAATCGATTGGCAATTTCTTCTATTTCCTCCATCTTTACTATTTTATAATCGATCATATTGAAAATGTTGCCTTGCTCCTTTTATATCTAAAATAGGATCTTGTGCTTCAGATGATTCTCCAATGTTGACATTGCTTCCTAACATCCTAAATCAGAGGATCCTTAAATCACCAACATCACATAATTCTGGTAATCTTTCAATGTAAATGACACTCTGAAATACTCCTCCATTCTCCTTATGTCAAATATCAAAAATATTTATATGGCTTGCACATCGTTCATCTTCATTTAATAAAACTTTTTATAAACATTTCTCACTGCCAAATCCCTAGCCCTATAACTATAGTATGTTGTATTTTGAGGTGTAATCCCTTAATCGATATTGTTACGAATATTTTCAACTAAGTAATTTATGCTCTCAGTCAACTAAGTTTTTTTGCTAGAAGGCAGGAAAATTATCACATAATTTAAGGGATATTGTCTTGAAAATTGACCTATATACCCGAATTTTTCATTCAATTCTTGCTTAATTAGCATGAATTGCTTCTTAGTGAATATGATTAGCCCGTTATGCTCCTTTCTAATCGATTCATACTTCTAATTGGCTAACAAATCCATGTATGGTCCATAATTCTCATCAGGATTATTTGATTGCATCAAAAAGTCATAGATAAATTCCAGCTTAGCCTTACTCAAGGCATTCTAAACTGCACACTAAACCCTATGCTAATCGGCTCCCTCTAAAAATGCCTTGCTCCCTCTGAATTTCACAAATGTATCGTATTTTCTCTTTAAATCAATGAAGAATTTGAGATGGTACATCCACATAATATGCTCAGCCTCTAGATCTAATTCGATTTCGATGCCCTTCATTTAATATATAAATTATCATTTTATTTTTATATTTTCCTGATAATATTTATATTATCACTTTTTCTGGAAATAACCTCTACAATAATATAAATAGCAATCAAATACCTTGGAAGGATTTTGTTTTTTTAAATCATTTGCTTTAAACTCAATATATCCTTCTCATTACGAATCCAGAGGGTGATAAATGTCCCTTTGGGCTAATCGCTTAGTTTCGGTACAACTATAGTTTTTATGCTATTTTATTTTACATTTAAAATCCGATTCAAATAACAAGTTCCCAATACTATCAGGATCGCTGGGATTCAATTTTCTATCGCCCAACTCTATGGTTGCTTCATAATACATTGATAAATTCTAATTAGCTTAATATTCTTCTATATTCATTTAAATATCAATTATATCATTAAGTAATTCAGTATTAAACGCCTCCATCATACTGTAACAATACAGTTTTGAAGCTTTCCAATGTTGATCATTACTAATCTCCTTCATCCATTGATTCTTATTGTCCTGCCTCTTCTTTTACACCTTTGCCTTAATATATATAGAATTCATCCTCTTAAATTCAACTTTCGCCTTCTCAAGCATTTCTTCCATATCCTCAACCTACACAAAATAGAAGGCCATCTTGAAGTAATCCTTAAACTTTCTCAATTACGATGCCTCCAAACTTGGGAATTCTCTTTCTAAATATTTTAATTAATCCTCAGATATGATAATTACCTTCTTGCTGCTTATGACAAGTGAGATTGAAGAGTCCTCATTTGAAGACTATTGATTGATGTATTCATCAAACCTCGCCTTCAAGAATTGATGTTGTCGGTAGGAGTAATTGCTGACTTTGATTGCCACCTACTAGCCATCATTAATCTACTGCAACTCTCTAAATTATTTTTCATTCAAAAATTCCGATAACTCCGTTTTAGTTAGGAAGTATTCTACTTTGCAATTTTTTTTCAAATTATCAATTAAATTCTACGCTTGAGTTGAGTATTGGGTTACATAATACATCTACTACAAAAAATAGTTGTGGAAAATTTATTTTATCTGATTGACCTCTTCTTATTATTTACATTTAATATTCATTTTTATCCAGTCAACAGAAAATTCTAACACAATTTCATGTTGCAAATTATAATATATGTTTAGAAATTCTTCGAAGGAATGCTTTAATTCTTAGAAGTTAAATTTCTTACCATTTTATAGGTTACTCTGTGTATAAATTATCTAATATTTCATTAGTTCCATTTTAATCACTTAGCATCTTATTGTCTTATTTAGATCTTCTACTTGTAAAAGTTAAGAAGAATTGTCCTAATCTTAATACTAGGTATATTCGTATATAAAACTATTTTGAAGATTTTGAGATACTGATAAATGATCAAAATTCATAGAGATATCCTCCTTTTGATTTACATATACTTGTTGTTTTCTCTTTTATTCTTTCTTGCTGCACTTCATATTTTTGGTCATTTGTGGAAAATTCTGTATATTCGTATTTTTTTTATAATATTTTAATGGTAGATCCTATTAATTATTTGAATCATCATTCTTTACAATATCCTCCATATAAGTATAATTGCTAATTTATTAGTATGAGATTGTTTATTATTAGATGTTTTATGATTAGGTTTTCTATTATTAGGTTTTTTTTTTTGAGTGTTATGACTACTCAAACTAGGTTTAATCATAAAACTGAAATGGATCCCTCTAACACGTTTTTTGTTTCATAACTGGAAATCCTTTTTTTTTTTGATTATTTTTATTTGGAATTCCCTTGTTTGAACTCTCGTTGTAACAGAATTATGTACAAAATTTGATGTCCTTATCTGTTCTAAGATTGTTCCGTGGTTTACTGAGTGTTTAGATAATTGTATCTGTTATTTCAGCTTCCAAATTCTCATCAGCACAAACAAATATTGAATTGGAGCCTAAATCAATCCAATAAATATATACTGTATTTATGAATCACACTTTTCAAATTTATATTAAATTATTTCTCTAAACTCTTTGATTCAATTAACACCTCATCAGATGAAAAAATCTTAATTCTCGGTGAAGTTGAGACTTAATCAATGATGGTGCTCTCCAATAAAAAGAGATCATTTGAACTCAACTTCGTCCTCAAATTAGGTATAGGCCAGAACCTTGTGTTTACCAGGTGATTCTCCAAGATCCGACATCCCTCTTCAATAGAGTGAGTATTATTTGCTTTGATAACCAAGTAAAATTCATTTGATATCTGAGATAGTTCTATAATGAGTTAGAATTGAGTCATGATTTCTTAGACATTCAAATAGAGATATATGGACAAGGATTCCAGGGCAGTAATTCTATATTGTTAATGGAATTTGAATTTTTCTTTCAACCTCTATTAGTTATATTTATAACCAGTCATTTTGAAGATCCATTCTTAAATTTAGAGCATATTTCTTAGTGGAAACCAAGTTATAAGAAAATGCATTGGTAGATCAGGTTCAATAGGGTGATATCCTATATTTTTCATGGATACAATCTAATTTTTGAGTGAGTATTGTGAATAAATCCAGAACCCTTCGTTTTTATCGCATAACTCCAGATATTAGTCTTATTAAAATAATTAATGAAAAGGTTGGATCTCATTGTCACTCTGAAATACTTCAATCTGCATGATGAAATCTTCATCAAGAATTTGATAAATTCTTTAAGCGGCATTCTCGCACTAAATTGCATCACCTTATTAACAAAGAAACAAATACCTCTCAAAATAATCAAATTTTCAGAGTAGTAGAACCTGATTCCATTCTATTGTGCAATCATCTCCAAAAACCCTAAATGGTGAATCCATATTGTTTCCAATGTTTCCAATTTAATCACTTTCTCTACATACGACTTGTTTAAATTCATTAAAATAAATATAATGAAAAACTTAAACAAAATCGACAGGCACTTTTGATCACTAAATAGAGAGTGTTCCTATAAACATGCACTCCTCGCCATTATTTATACATATCATTTTACAAGAATGATCATCTGTTAACAGTGTTGATTACACGGAATATCATTTTATTATTATTATATAATGAAAGTAGTATAATTTAACAATGGATTGTATTATGGACAACTTGATTACTTTCACAAAAAGATTGGCTTAGGGGTATATGTTTATGATGACTCTACCCTTTATTATGGATAATGGAAAAACGATCTTTATAATGGCGAAGGATTGATTGTATTCCCCTATGGTGCAATTTTGAAGGCCACCTTTAAGAACCATTCCATAGATGGCATAGGACTCTTGATAACCAACAATGAAGTCCTGATTGGAGAATATCAAAATTCTGTTTTAATGAATAAAGCATTGCTCTTCAATGGGAAATAATGGAAATTGAGATCATTTTTCAAAAATGGCCAATTCGAAGATGTGGATTGTCAACCTAGCAAAGAATAAAAACTATTCTCGGAATTCATTAAGCAATACCCCTCACTCTATAAAAGCAAACTCTTGTTATCTTTGGTTGGGTTTACTATGCATGAAAATTAAATGTTCATTGGGGAGTTTAAGAACAACAAACTGGATGGGTTTGGTAGGATCTTGGACTTCGACAAAAGAGTACTGGAGGATGGTTATTATAAGAACGGATTGTTGCAGAAGGGCTTTAGATATTACGTTGAAAACAACTCATTCGAATAGGTTTAACTTGTATTTGAACAGGGATCATTTGATTATAAGATAATGATGAAAGGAGACGATTTTCCCATTGAATTGATTAAGAAACAAAGAGCACTTATGCATCTCACATCTAAGTAATTCATTAGCAAATCCTAAGAAATTCATTACTTTCACAGTAGATATCAAAAATGTAACCATCAACTCAAACCATTACTAAAAATTACTTTGAATCAATTTATTATAGAAGAGGACGTTTCAAACGAGGGGGAGACAAATAAACCAATTGAACATGTTAGGAAAGCCTCATTTCACAATGAAAAGAATAAATAGTTGGATGAGCAGACAACCATCAGAACCACATCCTTCCACGAAAAGAATAGATAATTTGAATTAGACATGTGTAAGATTGAATTTGAAAATGCCTTAAGACCTTAGCATTCAAATGTAAGATAGCCATAAAGAAAGAGGATATTTGATAAACATAATTTTTGACTTATAATACTAATATATACCAAAATATGGATAAGATTTATAATGTATATGTATTTGTTCAAATATTTGATTATCCAAGTCAAGTGAATCAATTTATTTACTCTACATTAGGCTTATTTTCAAATATTATAATAATTAGGATATATATATATAGGGTTTAATTATTTTTCAAGCATCTGAAGTATTTAATTAGAGTGGTCTTAAAGAAGGAAGTTCAATGTCAGAAAATAGTGAGTAATTATTTGATGACTTAGAACAGCTAAGTTCGATTTTAGAAATGGTTAAATCTTTGAAGGATTGAGGATTTATTTAATGATTTTGATACGGATACAAATTATATAAAAATTTCAAAATCTCACATAGTTTGTAAATAAATGCTTTACTATTTTTGTAAACACTAAGTTTTATATATCTGTGTCTTTATAATTATCAGCATTTCTCGATGAAAATTGCGACAATAGCCTAGTGATTTCTTGGCTCAAATGCTGTAGTCTCACTCTCATTGTGAATCTTTGTCGAAGCTTCTTAAACCTTAAATACATAAGAATGGCGATTACTGTAATTATAATATATAATGCATACCAATTACAATTAGTGGAAACATCTTCTACAAATTTTGAGAAATCCATTTTAAATATTGTTACACAATGAGTATGTAAGATCGTCTCATCTAATTTTTTTTTTCCAATCGATGTTGATAGTTCTTTAATCTCAGTTAATAATCACATTGATTCTGGAATTGTTATTAGATGATTGTTTCTAACAGAACATTCACCTTGAACTAATTTAAGTAAATTTAAATCTATGCTCTGCAAACAGGACATGTATTGAAATTTTGATAAAAGTTTTTGTTCCTTAAACACGGTTTACAGAATGAATGACCACATGTGAGAGTCAAGGGATGTAATAAAGTTTATAAGCATATAGGGCAATCAAATAGTTGTTACATATTTATTTATAAATAGATGGTTTCTTGAGAGTAAATTAAAATCAAAAAGAGGGAATTGATTAGAGATGAGGAGTATAATTGCATTATGGGGATATCTAGAAATAAGCAAATATAATAAATCATGAAATATTTACACGTTTAATTTTACGTATTTTGGGTTTGATAAATTTACCCACCAATCCATCAGACTTCTTTTTGTGCAATGAACGCTGCTGCCAAGAACTTTTGCTTAATTTCACAGGTCGATTTCCGACATACTTGCCATTCATTTCCTTGAACGCCTTCAAATAGTCATTTGCATTTAAGAAGGACACAAACCCATAGCCTCTGGTTTTCATGGTGCGCTTGTCTCGAATAACACGTGATCTTGCGAAGGACGGGTACTTCCTGAAGGAGTTTGCCAATACTTCGTCGCTGACTTCGTTGCCCAGATTTCCACAGAACAATCTATAATCTCCTTCAGGCCAATCAGCCAGAGTAGGGTCTTCCCAAATATCGCCTGCACACTTTCTTAGTATGATCATTCTTCGCTTTCGCTTCTGTTGCTATTATTGTTATTATTGCTATTGTTGGGGTTACTGTTCAGTTTGCTTCTACTATGGCTACTCAACTAGAATTATGGTGAGGAGAGACAATTACCTTTCATTTGTTCTTCGGTTTTTCGAATTTGATCCTGATTGATCTCGTTCTTCTTTTGCTCATACAATTTGTTGAGTTTGGAGAGCGCATTTAAGAGATTGGACATTATTTATAATTAATTTTAATAATGCAAGTTCACACAGACAAAAGTCCTGCTATTCGAACCACCAAGTCGCGAGTGACGGTTTCCCCGAATTCCATCAAGTCGATTCCCATAACGCATAAGGTGATTAATCGCATCATGGTTCCAATTTACTTGAGGGAGTAACAATAGCAACAATAGCAATAACCTCAGAATCCAGATGTGATCAGATTGTAATAGGAACTGGAAATGTGGATCCAACGATATCGGGAATTGGAACAACTCTACTAAGGACACAAGAACCACCTAGTCATTGTATATTAAATGATTATGCCAAGATCACGTAATACCAGGAGCGCATCGATATGTTGGTTCAGGAGAATCATCAGATGTCTCTGATTTTGGAGGCTCGCATTCAGGAAGTGCAATAGTGGGAGAGAAGTTACTATGAGTTGCAATAACAATTGCAGTACACGCAGACCAACAGGGAATCTGAATTTCAAATTCAAATTAATTAATACTCCAATGTGATTGCAAATTACGAAAAGAATATTAATGAATTGAAATCCACTCTGCAATTGAACCAACAGGAGGCCTTGTAATGGAGAGAGCGTTGCGACTATTTGTAGAAGGAGCAAGAGAAATTGAGGTAGTACTATGAGAATCAACGATAACAAGATGCTGAAATACTCATTCAGAGTGCAGATCAACAACGTCAGTAAAACGAGAATGAGGTTTATAAGCTGAGGAATCAATTGGACATGAGAATGAAGGAACTCGAATAATTTAAGTAATAAAATCACCAATTAGAACAGACTCTCATCGAAGTGGGATCTAGTCAATAGAATTATGAAACCAAATTATTGCTCTTGACTTAGGAGATTGAAAATAGTAATGATGTATTCTAGAAGAAGGCCTAGCAATTTGAACTTACGAAAAAGAGGAATTAGGAATTAGAATAAGAAAGTTAGATATTGAGAGAACAATATGATCAGTTTGCTCAATAGTTGGATTTCTATCGACAGAAGTATGAGCAGGAAGTCTTGAACCAAAGGAAACAGGAGAGTTCCAAATTGGACAGAGAGCGAACACTCTCGGAGGAAATGAAAAGAATCCAATAGCAAATTGAGGAGAGAGACAGAAGAATCAAACAATTAGAAGTCCAGATCCAAGCCAATTCCTAATATTAGTCACAATTGATTTAATTGGAAGACAAGTGCTAACTCTATTAGCAAGAAATTGAGAGATTGAATGGCTAGGTGAGATAGAAGGAATAATAGATACAACAATTACAATTGCATAACGAGTAAACGTAGTAGAAACATTACAAAAATGAAAATACTTTGATCAAAATTCAAAATGAGTATCAATAGTTAATCATCCAATAAACAACCTATCAGAACAATATAGAGTAGATGCAACGAGTCAAAATGCAATTGGAAGAGAGAGTCATTTTATTGGGAAGTGAAATTGAGAGATTAAATGATATTCAAAGATAATTAATGAACGAACTTGATTAGAATGTTAGGACTAGAAGAAATGAAAACGAAACTATAAATACAGAGAGGTAGAAATACTCAATCATTATTGAATAACAAACCAGGGAATTATCAGAATACAAACTAAAACTTAATTAGATTGAGTTGATTAGAAGTCAGTCAGATCAATTGAAGTCAGATAATGATAGATTGAATCAATTATTAAGACATTTGTAGAATGAGAATGAATAATGGAGACACAATTATAATAAATTGGAAGAACAATTATAATAGGATTATGAGACTAAAATCATTATGTTATCATAAGAAATTGAAAGGCTGTCTATTTTGATCAATGAGAGGAGCACTGAGATGGAAACCAATAGAAGGAAGGTCACAATCTTAGAAGAAGAGTTGAATAAGAAAAGATATACTTAAGAGGAAAAGTTGGCTATGCTTACTAGTGAAATTGAGAGACTTAATCTGTTGAACCTATCTTATTCTGAACAAATTGAAATGCTCAAGACCAAGTTGATAAAGCAGGATTCCTCAGATCTTCTATTATTAAGAGAGAAGAATTTGTATCTGAATTAGGAGATTGAACGCTTACAAAATTTGGTTGAAGATCTAAGTAAGGAATTGGAAATCTATAGGTATTTGGCATTACATTATTAATTAGACTTAAATATGCTGACCAATTTGGAGTTGGATCTAAGTATGAAGAATTGCTTCTCTATTTATCTTTGTATAAAGTAGAAATCGAGAGTTTGCGTGCATAATTGACTGATAAAGAAAAGGAAGTCAATGATATGCGTAAATCGTAATTAGCTCCTTACAGAAGATGATATTATTTGAATGTGATTTTAAATAATTAATTTTAACAATAAAGATTATTATCACTAATGATGAAATTCATGATTTTTATATTATTGTAATACACTCCATAATTTATCCCTGGATACAACATCTTATTCCTCACTTCCAATTTGATTGATCATGATATCTATGTCTTTATCGCTAAATCCCATCCCTATCTATATCCATCACAATAATACCCAAAATATCACATTATTTTTTTAATTCCTACTTGCTTAACTTTTTTGAATTGCTTGTATCCATGATCTGAAATAGCATCTCAAAGTTTTCAAAATCACTAGAATCATAATGGAAACTTTCCGCAAATTAATTCAAATTCAAATTGTCATTTCTTTTCTTATGTAATTTCTTGTATAACAATTAACAGCTTTTGTCCATTCCAGATTCTTAGAGCAATTCCAAAAACTCTTTCACGTTCAATAAATTTGTCTATGGAGATTTAAATTCGTTGAACATATCGACCACTTCGTGAGGATGTTGCATTTATTTTTATTATATAAAATAATAATATTTATTCATTGAATACTGCATCCTTCGTCATTCTTTCTATGCTCAGCATCTTAAACCTGTCTTCTCAAAACTTGGATCTCCTGTTTATTTTGAGCCCACTTCTACTTCAGCTCCAACATTTGATCTTCACTTGGACCTTATTAAGATTGTCTAGCATCAGGTGCAAGCGACTCTCTTTCAAGTTTTATCTACTCTTGCAAATCCTGAATTTCTTTAATTAACAGCGTCCTTTTCTTCTCCAAAAATGACACCTACTCTTATTTCTTTTTCAACTCATCTTCCTTATTGGACACCTGCAGTTTTGATTATTATAAATTGTATTATTGTTCCTCACTTGTATTCGCTAATATCTTTTGATATTTAGAAAATAGATCTTCTATTAATTTCTTATAATTGCGTTGTAAGAACTCTGCATACGTAGAGCATTGCTGAAATTGGTACTTTTGCTTTTATAATTGGTCTATAATGTTATTGAAGGACTAGGAGAACGAATCGATGTCCTTGAAATTAATTTTAGGGATGTTCTTGTTCAAAAAGGAGTCATTTTCACATTAACTTGTGTAGAGACAAAATTATAATGCTTATTTCTCTTTGGCAACAAGTATTTCCTGCAATTTCTTTTTGTATTGCTAATATGATCGATTCTTGCTATTCAAAAAGCAATAAGGGAATATCTGTTGCAATGAGACATCTTTGAAATCTCTGAACTATTTGTATATCTCAATTTCGTCAACTTTCTGATTGTCTTTCATCCAAGTATCGACTTATTAGACGAAAGCATTCAGACTTTTGTTGTAGATGGCTTTCGTGTAATCCTCACATATTGATAACCATAATTAATCCAGTTACAAAGAAATTGGTTTATTGAGTAGATCAACAATATATTCCATGTACAAATACATTAGAGGTCCATTCAGATTGTAACTGTTGACTTGCTTACAAACACTGCCCAATATAATCCTATCCTTCAATTATGTTATCGTGTTCTAATACTCAGAAGAGCTTTGAGGAGCAATGTAGGCCACATCACGCTACTTTATTAGATTCTCAAATTATTAACCCTTGTTGGCTTTGACAAGGAATTCTTGCAACTCACTTATTGGACGAGCTTACAGTGCATCGCGTTAAACCCATATAAAATTGGGTAATAATTGCATTATTGCATATTCATTGATCAATAATCTGAAAATGGTGTCAAGCACAGGGAAACAATGGATACTATTGTCATCTAATTTGAGTGTGTTGTATAATAATGTCGAGCAACTTAGCATGACAAATGCATAAAGCAATTGATTATCAGTACCTTGGCAATCTACAAAGTAATAACTTTTCTGTTCTATTACAAGTGGTTTCGATAACATCCAAATCCCATTGTTTCCAAATTTCTACTTATTTGAGGTATGAGCAATTTCATTAAGCAATGTGCTTTTACCTGATTTGTTCTATCCAATAACTCCAACCATGACTATGGAATTGCGATCATGACTTAGGATGTTATTTAGATCCTAATGCAGTTTAATTGCTCCCTTTTAAATGCTCACAATCTCACAAATGTCTTAACCAGAGTAATTCTGAGTTGATAATTTGGATGAAAATAGATCTAGATTTAAGAGTTATTATTTAGCAGTGGCGATCAACTATTATTTTTCCTTTTCTGTTAGTGCTGGAGCCTTGGATTCCCTCATTATGGCAGACTATGAATTGAGACTAGGCTTTTTCTCATTTGGAGTGATAGAATTAGTTAGTTTTCTTTCTTTCGGTAAATCTTCAACCGATTGTTATTTGTATGAATCTTGAAAATTAATTATCTCCTCATTTTCGTATTCTGAATATTAGTCTTTAAAGTTCTTGTCTCTTTGTTGAGTATCATAATTGTTTAGAGGCGGCTTTTCGGCTGGTCTTATTATAGATTGTGTAACTCTTGGTTGATGTTCAATGATGGATTGCTATAAAAGGGTAGTGCTAGATTTAGGTTATGGTTATTATTATTATGTGCGTTAAATAAGATTGGGATCGTATTTTCTAGGGACTGAAACGGTGGGATCGTAAGTTGGTCTTTATGATTGTTACGCATAAGGTTTGTGTTCAGGTTGGTTGGAATGGTTAATTTAGCTGTAAATTCTTGAGTTGACAGTTGAGGTATTGATTTGGGGTCTGTTAATATAAGACGATGTTGGGTTTGGTGAATTTTGGCCTGTCAGATAGAGAGCGTTTGATTTGTTAAGCCTAAAAGTAGGGAGAAAGAGAAATACGCTTGCTGATATTCATCAAGAGGTTCTACTATGATGATATCTTGACTCTCATCTGAATTGTGGGAGGAGCCTTGAAAGTTATCCTCGAATCCGTATTTGTTTTAATCTAATGGATTGGATTATATAATTACAGCTTGAATACATTGAATACGTTTTTATTTTATAAATGAAATATTATAGAGAAGGGCAATTGCTTCGATATATTGGTACTTGGGTTCCATTGGGAATTCTTGTACTAATAGTGCTATACTTTTATGTAGTGTATATGGAGGTATGTGGTGCATATTCATGTTCAAGACTTATTTGATGCCACTCATAAAATCAGAGTATGTCTCTAGACCTTTAGTGGAAATCAATACATACTTGATTCAATTAGTACACATCAATGACTATGTTTTCAGCAACAAAACCATCGGAATTACGATAACATTACATATCATTCTAATATTATTCACAATTACATTGATCAGAGTTGTAATTACAATTCCTGGACATGTCCCAGTTGAATGGCTAAATAAAATAGAGAATGAAATTCGTCAGATGATTGAGAACGAAGAAAACATGATAAATCACAATAAGAAAGGATCGCAGACATCCACTTCCTTTTCATCTGAGATAGATGATGAGCAGCGATTACATTTGAATGTGAAAGTCAAAAATGAATTAATTGATAAATAAGGTAGAAGACATTGTAAAAATTGCAGCACTTTCAAACCAAAGCGTAGTCATCATTGCAGACAATGTAAGACCTGCTGGTTGAAAATGGATCACCATTGTTAATGGTTGAACAATTGTATTGGTTATGGCAATTACAAATTGTTCATTAATTTACTTTGCTATGCATGTAACACAATTTACCTCCAACATTAGGGTTTTTAATTAGTTTCATCCTGATCACCTACAGTCGTTGCTATTATGACACAATGAACTCCTATTCAAGCGATGCCAAACTATTCCTAGTTTCCTTTACATTTCTATATTGCTGTTTCCTGTGGATCCTATTAACAGCATTCACCCTCTTCCATCTGTGGTATCCTCATCAATAATACTGAGATTGTTAGGGCAATCAAATCCAACATCACAACCCTTGAGTATTGCGAGAACAAGCCAAGAGAACCCCTTTAAAAAGGTGTTTGGAACAATATATTTGAAGTCTTTGGCAAAAACCCCTTGGTATGGTTCTTACCCATTCAGCCAGATACCAAACCAATATTAGATTGACATGAACATTATTAATATAAATGTTCAATAAAGATTATTTATCCAAATTGCTCTACTTCCAACGATTAAAAAATATCACCTCTGAAAAAGATTATGAACCCATACTGCAGAGTTTTCTCCAATTAGCCAAACTCCACTATTAGCCCAAAGATAGATTTGTGTTCAAATACAAACTCAAAATTGATTACTTCCTCATTCTACTTAAAGGCAGATGTCTGAAATTAATACCAAAATCTCATGATTAACTTACATAAGAGATCAAAGAATTAGAATTGAGATATCCAGGTATTCAGAGGTTGCCTTAAAATTTCCACCTAAATCCTACAACCAAAACCCTCTAGTTCAGAGGTAAGGAAAATTACCCAAAAGAAAATCTAGTTATCTTATAAGATTAGTTAAATCAATTAAACATCCAATCCTTCCAGATCTTGAGTCTAATGACACATCTCATTGAAGGACATGTGGTTCGATTCCAAAGTGCTCATATCATTAATGAGGATGATGCTCTTATAGAATCCATTACTTAAAATGCTCAATGCACCATCATTACCTTGGATAACTGCGAGTTTCTGCAATTGCAACTCTAACAATATTAAGAAATCATCGAGACCTCCAAAAGAAGGAAGAATGAGAAAATCGAATTTCTGATGTGTAGAGCATTTCAAGATGGTATCAAATATCCTGACTTCAAACGAGTCCTTCAGGAACTGATCAATTCTTCAGAAAGAGTTAAATTATGCAATCATCAAAATCTCTATTCCTTCGAGATGCAATCTCATTATGTGTATTTGATCTTAAAAGGAGAATTCTACGTTTCCTACAGTAGTCATAACAATAATTTCGAAGTCCAATGTTTTGGTAGTGATACTCAATATGATAGATTCAGAAAGACTTTGAGACACGATCAAAAATAAGCCAAACAATTAGTTCGCTATCCAATTCAAATCAATGAAAGCACATTTGAACTCCTTAAGTAGGCAAACAAATTCTCTACCAGAGAGTACATTTTATTGAAATTGGGACCTGGATAATTGTTAGGCGAAGAGGATTTCAATCACGATTGTTTCAACAACGTCTATCATTCATTTAATTGTTAATGTGTTAGTGCCAAGGGAAGTGTTCTAGCCATTAAGAAAGTCGATATCTATCGTATTTGTATTGTCAACGATTGGTTTGCCAAGCTTTTCCATAAGAGATGCGAAATGAAGCGAAAATGGCTCTAGGAAAGATTTGAAAATCATTTGAACAAAGACATATAGAATGAAATTTAAAAAAAAACTATCCAACCTGAAAAAACATAAAGAGTAGATGATTCCTTATTCCTGAGACTCAAATTCCTAGATGAAGAAGCCACCAAACACAAAAGCACCAAAATCTAGAAATCGCAAATCTCTCCAGATAGAGATCTTACAACTCGTTGCAATTAAAGAAAATTGGCACTAAAAAAACTCATAGAACACAATAGAAAATCCAACCCTAACAATGATCCCAACTGCATTGGTATGATTCAATATCTAATTAAACTTGATCGGCATAAATAAATGCTCCTTCAACATTCAATTCGATTAGCAATAGGATCATAAATGAATAAATAAAGAAATTCCTCCCAACATACTTAAGCTAATGACTAATCGATTAGTAAGTCGAGAATATCACCTCAACGCACATATTCTTTTAGATTAGGAAGAAGTAACTCAATGATTAGTAGTGTTATTAATTATAAAAAATGAACTATTAAATATTCTTGAGAATTCGAAATTATGAATATGTCAACCCAATTTTCAAAGCAGAAGAATGCCAAATCACCTTAAAAGTATGATATCCTCAAATCTAAATAGACCCCTGGATCCAAAGAAACAGAAAAATTCATCTTTGATTATATTTTTCATGATGCAACCACAGATGATATTATCAAAGAGATTGGCTTTAAATAATTAAATAAGTTAATCTTGGTTTACGGATAAAGTGGAAGTGGTAAATCATATACATTGTTTGGAGATTTTAACAATCCTGGAATTATGCCTTCCATAATCAAAAAATTATTAGCTGAAAAACATAAACTTACAATTAACTATAAGGTTGTTGGCTTAGATTATTAGAGCAATTATGTGACTGAGGATATGACAAAAATTAGCATCTTTGATATGGAAACTGTTTGGGAATACTAAGCAGCATTTTCTAAATTAAAGCGTAAGGAGCATTTAATTGTCACTTTGATTATCGATGAAAAGGATCAAATTAGATTTGTGGATTTGGCAGGACCTGAAAGACAAGCCAAAGATTTATCAGAACCATACAAATACTAAGAGGCTATTTGGGCTTCCTAATAGTTTCAAGTATTGGCAAAATGTTTAAATGCCTTCTCAAAAGGAAAAATATAATCATTAGAAGATTCAAAACTCACTCAACAATTGCGATTTGATCTCGGTACTCAAGTTTCTTTGATTGGAACTATTTATCCTACAAATTCAAATTATGATGAAACTCTTTCCACATTGCAATTCATAGATCGAACTAGAAATGCCGTTACATTACCAAGAAAAGAATCTTTAAGAACGCTTGAAATTACCAAAACCTAAACTTAAGAAAAGCAGATTAAATTGTTGGAGTATGAAAATAAAGATTTAAAGGATTAAATCTCAAGACTCTAATAAGAATAGAAAAACAAATTAAAAGCTCTGAAGGACATATTATGTATTGACTTTGATTTGGATAACCTAACAAGTATAAGTTTCAAGGAAATTCAACAATTTAAGAAATAGTAAGAAGCTCTGATTGCCAATCAAAATTTGTAAATACAATTAAATGAATAACAGACTTACATTAATTAATTAAAGTAAGAGATCTCTTAATTAAAATAAGAAATAAAGGAAAAGCAAGAAAAATGGTAATTTCAATTGGTCGAATAAAAGTATAAAAATTTTAAAATAAATGAATAATTTGTTACTCAAAAAACATAAATGAGTGAAATGATGAGACAGATGTAATTGGAGAAAGAATCTTGCATAAAATCTGTGATTGAAAACTCAAACCATGTGATAGAAGAAAAAACAAACAAACTATTTTAATTACCGATCACAGCAAATCTAAAGCAATTAGATAATAATAAAATATAAGATATTAAGAAATAAATCAAAACAGAAATGGAATAAGATTTGACAAAGTAATTGACTCAAATAAAGTCAGATAATGAAAATAACCTACAATAATTGAAATTGATGTATGATAATATGCTAAAAGAAAAAAATAATGAAATTGATTAGTTTGTTTCTTAGTATAAAATATATAGGGAGAAGAAAAAAAATGTAATAAAGGAAATGAAAGAGGAAATGCTCTAAATGTATGAAATCCTGAATAAATAGTAATTATTAATTGATAAGATTGAAAATGGAACCTACAGTAATGGAAATAAGGTTTTGGCAATCCCTAGGAAAGATAAGCCAGTTCCACCTAATCAATCCTAATTTAAACAGTAAATATATCTGTAAACATATATTTAGTCTGAATCATTTTCTTGAGAGGAAGAAATCTTTTGAGATTCAGAACAAAAAATCATCAAGTGCTGAAAAATCCTTTCTTTTAACACCCATTAACAGAGTTGAAAGATCACAAACCACATTTTAAGAAAAACCAATCATTGTTGATCCTAATGATGTTGAACTATTTAATATAAATGAGATGGACATTCCTAAATTGAAATCATTTATAATAAAACTGAAGGAAATGCTGAAAAAAGAATAGTATGAAAATAAAATTAAATCAGAGAAATTTAAATAAGAATTAGGAGAACTTAAAAAAGGTAGTATATTTAATTTATTTAAGATAAGGAGGAGATGCAAATTAAATATAATGTTGAAAGCAAAAAATACAATCAATAAAGAGTAACGATTGAATCTTAAAACAGACTTCTTACTAAATTAAGACCAACTAGTTCACTCTTAAGAAAATAATCTTGATAATTTATCAATTGTATTATTTTATATGCTTTTAATTTTTTTGATTTAATGATTAAAGTAATTAGGAATTTTTTTATAAAAGTGTAGTTATAATATTAATTATCTCTTTGAAAGCTACAAAAAATTTGATTAAAAATTTGTCATCATAAATGCTAACTTGCTTTACCATTTACTTTGATCAAATAATGATATCAATGGATAATTTATATAGTTATGATAATATATATATAAATATATTGATCATTTATTAAGTTGATCTCTGCAGGTTGGACATTCTGCTTTGAGTTATAGCCATTTTTTGATACATTCTTAATGGAAAAAGTGATTACATTTTAGTATTTTGATAACATTTTTTTCATTTAGTTCTAATAGACAAATTGCGCAAGTTCTACAAACTAGTGAACAATTCATTACTCTATCTGTTCAAATTCTTCAACTCCGACTAATATTGGAATATCATCAAACCAAGTTCTCAATTTTTTAGGTTTGATTAACTTCAACTATTATTAGAAACCTGGAGGCATGTAAATAAAATTGAAATTTAAGGAAACATTGTACATAAACCTGAAAATGTATTATTTTGAATTTTTACAAATGATGCCAAAGGAATAAAGGGAATTAAGTCTAGGACTTATAAATCCTCTTTTTAATTTCTAAAATCCTTTCATATGCATTATGAATATGTTCATTCTTTCTTCTATTCATTTGATTATTTATTTCTCATTTTTATAGTTGAATTCAAACTAGATTTATAGAAAAAATAAAATCTTTTTATTTCAGATACATTTTTTCTCTTTATAAATCAAAATAACAATTATAATTTATAGTTACTTATTTAATAATAACTATTGCTAGGAAATACTGTAAAATTGAATTTGTTCAACTTAATGATGAGAATTTAATTAAATTCTTTTGCATTAACCCGTTTAAAGGGTTTTTTGAAGCCATGATAATTAAAACTTATAAATTTATTTATCAGAGTTATTTTTGAATTTCATTTGCTAAATCAATTAATTTGGAGAGTAACAAAATTTTTTGGTTATCCATATTTTATGCTGCCACTTATTTGTATTGTGATATCTCTTATTGGAGTTACTCTATAGTAGCATCTTTTTTTCTCAAGAGCTTCTAATTATGAATTAATTCTTTTTGGTAATTCTTTTTAATTTTCATTAATTCCTTTTCCTTTTGCTTATGAAATTTTTAGATAGTGGCACCAAAATCCTGAACATCTTCCTCAGTTTTTTGTACCTTGGATTCCTCATTCTGAATAGATCTATTTTTTAGATCTGAATAAATATTGTCTTTAACTTCTAACTCTTTTTATAAGATATCAATTTTTGACGATAAGAGGTCTATCTTATTAAAATACCATCAATTGAATACCTTTTACTCGTACTTCTATTAAAGAAGCTTCATTTCTTCTTTGTGTTCCTATTCAAATTGTTTGATATCTGAAAGCATTTTTCAAAATAAAACAACAAATATAACTTCACAATAAAAATATTCAAAATTGAATCAAATATAACTCATGTTTTAGCAAGCATCCCAATCATGAAACTCAAAATGACAGTTATGATTGCATATCCAATATGCAAAGTATTGAGCGATCTAGGTTTTGGAGTTTCAACGATTTGTTGCTATTTTAATTTTTATCTTTAAAGCTTGTTTTTCAATTCACTTAATTTGAAAAGCTCTTTCTCCTATTCATCAGTCAAAATTAAGTACTACTCATATTCTTATTTGTATTACGGCTACGTTTCAATTAGAACGTTTGAAGTATTAATTTAACTTTTTTATTGGTACATGCTCAAAAATTCGCTTTTCTGTCTCTCTACTACGTTATCGAACTTAACATTAGAGGAGAGAAATTTTTGAGCATCCCCAAACTTTGAAGTTTGATTTATGAATTTCGATTCTGCTATCTAATCTAATTATCTATCTAGTAAACTTTGAGACTCCACCAACTTTTGATCGTTGGCTTATTGAGTTGTTTTATTACTCAACACTCTAACAGTCAATGTAATGTCTTAGATATTTGGCGGCTCTCCAGATCCTGAAGCCGATTAAGGTACGCTATCTTCATAATCATAGGCCTCAATTTTTATTTTATCTTTATCGTTGTCTCTTTTCTTAGCGCTGTTAGCCTTGATCAAGAGGACTCCCTTTTGATTAAGTTCGGTAAATACTAAGGGCTTGCCTACAACTTGAAATACGTCTGGATCAGTTGTTTTCACTTTAATTTTAATTCTTCTTTCTTGATTTGCAATGCACTATAATTTAATTTCCTTGCTTAGATTAGTGAGTTAAAATACACACTATTTTTATTTTCTTCGAATTCGATCTCTGAATTGTCAATTCCTATTAATTTGATAAAAGACATTAAATTAATTAAAGATTTAAATAATGAGTAATCACGAAGATGATTTAGAAGTACAAGAGCCAGTCGATCAATAAAAAGAAGACGAATCACAAAAGAAAGGAGGTAAGCCTGATAATAAATCTAAGTAGGCACTGACAATAAACATTAACTCAAAGATATTGACTTATCATCAATTTTTGTGAGAAATTTGGATGAAAACACTACAGAAGATGATCTTAAAGAATATTTTAAAGATTGTGGAACCATAGTTAAAGTACCACAAATAATGTAATATTAGGTGACTTTAAGAAGTGATAAAAATACTGGCACACTTTATTCATATGTTCAATTCCAAGAATAAAGCTCAGTCGAAGATGCTTTAGTCTTGAGCGAAGGCATCATAAGAGGAAAGAAAATACTTGTATTCACATAATTTTATATTTTAAGGTGTTCCAAAAGAGAACAAACTTAAGAAATAGAGGTAGAGGAAACAGGGGAGCAAGAGGATAACGTACTTACAAATTACTATATAATAGCATTTTAATATATTACAAGAGGAAGATATTTGTATGCAGAACCAATTAGAGGAAGAGGAGCTTATCGTGGTGGCAAATGAGATATTTTCATAGCCACCATTGTATATTATTACAAATAAATAAAAAAAATACAAAAAAAATAACAAAAAAAGATATTCCTTCTTCTCAAAAAATCATAAAAAAATATATTTCAAAAATATTCATATCAAAACTCGTAATTAGTTCTACTACTCCATTGATTTAGATATATTTTTGGTTCTTACTTGAAATATTAAAATATATTTAAAATATTAAACAAATGTATAAATTATTGATCCTCTTATTATAGTATAGAGAAATTTAATTCTAATCTTATGGATAAAGAGGCTAATTTTTCTACGGATATAACAATTAAACTATTATTAAAAGTAATAATTAAATATAAAAATAGAATTTGTAAAACAGGATGAGCTTAGCAGAACCTGCAATAAACAAAAGATATTTCTTATTTAAGATTTTTTGCATCCTCTTGATTGATTTGTTAACCCATTTTCTTATATAATTTTTGTATTCATTTTTTCACTTAGTTTCAAGCATTTAGAAAGTTCTTCATGCTTGCCAATCTCTAAAAATATAGATATTACCAAATTGTTGTTTTCTAAAATATTGTAAAGAGTATTTTATTACATAATTTAGGGAGTGTTTTAAAGATTTATGAGATTACTAGTATTATCATCGACAAAAAAACATAGAGAGGTTGCTAACAAATCTATATTCATAAAGTTCAAATTAAATTAGAAGGTCACTTATTCCATATAAATTTGACACAGGAGGTGTTTTTAATACTATGATTTGATTATTATCCTTCAAACTAAAATATTAAGGTTTGGAATTAAAGAAATATTATCTCATCATATTCTCTAAAGTCTGCTAGACCTTATACTACTATAAAAAATGACGGATATCTAAATTTCAAGTAATTTTTCTAATATAAAAATTATTATTAATGTAATTATTTTAGAGGTGCCTAGTGGCTAGATTTTCATTAGCCATTCCTAAATTCAAGCATAAAGAATAGCCTTATGTTAAAGATATTCCCATGCCTAAAAGACCTAAACTTGACCCTAAAGACCCTTATGAGAAATATGAACTGGTGAAACCTCGTGAATATGAATTCAGGCAGGCTTTAGGTATGACCACATGTCAAATCAAATAGATGAAAGACATACTAAAAATTTTTACCCAGGCACTACTTATGTTGCAGTCCATAAAGGTGGAATCACTTATCACTTGTTTGATGCATCAAGATTTCCCTATGGCAAGATGTGTTCAAAAATTGCCTATCATTTGAGTGGAAAACATAAACCAACCTTTCGTAATAACGAGCCTGGCAAAGTTACAGATAAATTTATTATTGTCAATGGTTGTAATATGTATTTGACAGGCAAAAAAATCAATTATAAAGTCCTTACTTATCATACAGGTTATGTCGGAAATTTAAGATAAATAAAATTCAGAGATCTAATCCTTCAAAAACCAGAATAATTAGTAATTTAGTCTTTCAATGTAGGTTGCTTGGACTGTTTCCAAAATGTTACCAAATAATGTTTACAGAATGGATAAACTAGATCATATCCATCTATTTAAAGGTAGATTTCATACCTTTGATGATGTTTTACCCTAAATCTTACCTCACCATACTGATTTTGAATATCGAGGAAGCATTTTATAAGACATGAAAGAAGGTGATGATAGAACACTTCTATTCACCAGCAAACCTGTCTCACAAGAGTAGAGTACATTATTAAGTTATTCATAGTCAAATAGGATCTCGGGGATATTAAGTAGCAAATCATGGACCCAAGCGAATTGGATAATGACCTAATATTCACACCTTTTGTTGAAAGACCATAGAAAATTAAACTTAATATGACTTAACATGAATATGATAAATTAAATAGAAGAAGAAAGCGATTGATGTAGAGATACAGAAAATATATGCCCATTCCTTACAGAAATACCATAGAAAAAGCAGATTTTACGAAGAGTTATGTTGTTAAATCGGAGAAATAATTAAATAGATTGGGACTATAGAAAATTAAGCCATTAGACGACGATCCAGAATTAGAAGACGAAACAACTAAATTCTGAGAGTATTTTAATAAAATATAAGTTATTTATAACAATTTTATTCAATTATTTAATTTAATTTAAAAATCTAAAGTACAAACATAATACAATATTCAATTATTAAGATTTTTGTCTGATTTTCTACTTAAATTGATTTATTTTTCTTTAAATTTCTTTTTTTATTCGTTTTATTCTAATTGTAAAGACTTTTAACCTACTTAATGAGGTCAAATGTTAATTTTTTTTAAAAAAAGGTGGCTGAGCTTTTTTCCATTTTTCATCCTTATTTATTGTTGAATTTTATTTAAAATTTATTTCAACTTTGAAAATACATTCTATCAGAAATTTAAAGAAATATCCCTTTTTATAAACTGATTATCTATAAATTCACCTAAAATTAATATCTACGAATTCTTATGTTGAAGATGTAGGAAAAGTTATACTTAAAGGCATACATTTTTAGGTAATCGCTTGCTAAAATCTCTGCATGAAAAGGGCTATAGTTTTTGAAATGTGTTATTAAAATAGAAGCTTGAAATCATCTATTTTAGGATTTGTGATCTTAAAACAACTAATGAAATAGCTAAAGGATAATGGACAAGGCCTGGTTCTTAAAAAGAATTTAATGTGATTTTATCCATTCTTCTATTAATTATATTGTTTTGTTTAGGACATGCATACATTAGTAGCACATCAGAAAAAAGATAAAATACAGGATTATTTTTAGATATTGATGATCATGGCTCCATATAAACATTAAGAGATGATTATTTCTATCAACTTCAATATACGATAAAGAATTCCAAATTTCTTTTTGTTAAAAAATATCATAGACTTCAAAGCTTTGTCCATTTTACCATACTATGAATTGAAATATGAATCATAAATGAAAATTTATGGATAATATTATTATATCGTCGAAAGTTATCAAAAAGTATAAATTAAGCTTAGCAGAAGGATAATAAATAAATTATTTAGTAACCATTTTTTCTTTAAAATATTAAAATTGATATATTTGGAGGCGAAGATGAGATATGGCAAATTACTCAGAAAATTTTTTGATTCAGAAATTTGGTAACAGTAAGTTTATAGATAATTCTCAAATCACTACTTTTAAGATATGTCAAATATCAAAAATTCTTAAATTTTAACATATTAAAAGGTTAACAAAAGATAGAGCAATTTCATTTTTAGGAGATTATGAATTTTTCAAAGATTATTTTGGTAACATGATGGACAAGAATTAAATTTGTAAGATTCAAATCTAAAAATAATAATTGTTGAAAAAATTTTCAATTATAAAAATTATCATTTTTAGTTTCTATATAATAAAAATGACCTAAGAATATTTCTCAAAATAATGAACACATTTTCAAAATTTTCAAAATTTCAACCAAATTTTATTTCAAATATTGCAATTACATAATTTCAGCTTCATTTTAGAAACAATAAAAATATCAATAGCAAATTATTTATTCTAATTATTTAANAGACGAAACAACTAAATTCTGAGAGTATTTTAATAAAATATAAGTTATTTATAACAATTTTATTCAATTATTTAATTTAATTTAAAAATCTAAAGTACAAACATAATACAATATTCAATTATTAAGATTTTTGTCTGATTTTCTACTTAAATTGATTTATTTTTCTTTAAATTTCTTTTTTTATTCGTTTTATTCTAATTGTAAAGACTTTTAACCTACTTAATGAGGTCAAATGTTAATTTTTTTTAAAAAAAGGTGGCTGAGCTTTTTTCCATTTTTCATCCTTATTTATTGTTGAATTTTATTTAAAATTTATTTCAACTTTGAAAATACATTCTATCAGAAATTTAAAGAAATATCCCTTTTTATAAACTGATTATCTATAAATTCACCTAAAATTAATATCTACGAATTCTTATGTTGAAGATGTAGGAAAAGTTATACTTAAAGGCATACATTTTTAGGTAATCGCTTGCTAAAATCTCTGCATGAAAAGGGCTATAGTTTTTGAAATGTGTTATTAAAATAGAAGCTTGAAATCATCTATTTTAGGATTTGTGATCTTAAAACAACTAATGAAATAGCTAAAGGATAATGGACAAGGCCTGGTTCTTAAAAAGAATTTAATGTGATTTTATCCATTCTTCTATTAATTATATTGTTTTGTTTAGGACATGCATACATTAGTAGCACATCAGAAAAAAGATAAAATACAGGATTATTTTTAGATATTGATGATCATGGCTCCATATAAACATTAAGAGATGATTATTTCTATCAACTTCAATATACGATAAAGAATTCCAAATTTCTTTTTGTTAAAAAATATCATAGACTTCAAAGCTTTGTCCATTTTACCATACTATGAATTGAAATATGAATCATAAATGAAAATTTATGGATAATATTATTATATCGTCGAAAGTTATCAAAAAGTATAAATTAAGCTTAGCAGAAGGATAATAAATAAATTATTTAGTAACCATTTTTTCTTTAAAATATTAAAATTGATATATTTGGAGGCGAAGATGAGATATGGCAAATTACTCAGAAAATTTTTTGATTCAGAAATTTGGTAACAGTAAGTTTATAGATAATTCTCAAATCACTACTTTTAAGATATGTCAAATATCAAAAATTCTTAAATTTTAACATATTAAAAGGTTAACAAAAGATAGAGCAATTTCATTTTTAGGAGATTATGAATTTTTCAAAGATTATTTTGGTAACATGATGGACAAGAATTAAATTTGTAAGATTCAAATCTAAAAATAATAATTGTTGAAAAAATTTTCAATTATAAAAATTATCATTTTTAGTTTCTATATAATAAAAATGACCTAAGAATATTTCTCAAAATAATGAACACATTTTCAAAATTTTCAAAATTTCAACCAAATTTTATTTCAAATATTGCAATTACATAATTTCAGCTTCATTTTAGAAACAATAAAAATATCAATAGCAAATTATTTATTCTAATTATTTAATTTAAATTATAACAAATTACAGCTTTTCTAATCTATTCTCTTATGCAAAATTTAAGATATCTTAATATCGTAAATTAATTGTTAATTTATAATGCATTCTATTTTTGTTTTACAGAAGGTTTATTTCATAGCAGGAATAATTCTGTATGTTTCTTAAGAATTTGATTTAATAATATGATTCATGAGGATAGCATGTTTTAAGTTTATTGATAAACAAATTTGCTTAATTAAGAAAGAAAATATTAATATTCGTTGATCATATCGATTCAATGATATATAATAAAATTATTTTTGTATAAATTTAGGCTTCTCGATATTGTTATTATTTATTTTCCTATTATTATGTTTCAGTAGTAAAATTTAATTTGATATATCTTATTTCATGGATATCAAAAATAAATCACCTAAACCTATTTCAACTATTTTATAGAATAAATTATTAAAATAATTGGCTTTTTAATTAATGGGAGATAATTATTTTAAAGGAAATAAAATAATATGCAGGTTAAATTAATTAAGTTCTACTCTCAATATTATTATTAAATTAAATATCAAAATAAATATATTTATAAAAGTTATGATAATTCTTTTCATTATAATCTCTACAATTCATCAAACTGTGATTTATGAGTTTAATGCTATTTCTAACATTATAGATAATGGTAATCAAATAATTTAGATATATGTATTAGAATGGCAAAATAATTAGAACTTTGCTCAAATCCAGACTTGCGGAGGGATCCAATATTATGGGGCATCTGGTTATAGTTACANAAGAGATGATTATTTCTATCAACTTCAATATACGATAAAGAATTCCAAATTTCTTTTTGTTAAAAAATATCATAGACTTCAAAGCTTTGTCCATTTTACCATACTATGAATTGAAATATGAATCATAAATGAAAATTTATGGATAATATTATTATATCGTCGAAAGTTATCAAAAAGTATAAATTAAGCTTAGCAGAAGGATAATAAATAAATTATTTAGTAACCATTTTTTCTTTAAAATATTAAAATTGATATATTTGGAGGCGAAGATGAGATATGGCAAATTACTCAGAAAATTTTTTGATTCAGAAATTTGGTAACAGTAAGTTTATAGATAATTCTCAAATCACTACTTTTAAGATATGTCAAATATCAAAAATTCTTAAATTTTAACATATTAAAAGGTTAACAAAAGATAGAGCAATTTCATTTTTAGGAGATTATGAATTTTTCAAAGATTATTTTGGTAACATGATGGACAAGAATTAAATTTGTAAGATTCAAATCTAAAAATAATAATTGTTGAAAAAATTTTCAATTATAAAAATTATCATTTTTAGTTTCTATATAATAAAAATGACCTAAGAATATTTCTCAAAATAATGAACACATTTTCAAAATTTTCAAAATTTCAACCAAATTTTATTTCAAATATTGCAATTACATAATTTCAGCTTCATTTTAGAAACAATAAAAATATCAATAGCAAATTATTTATTCTAATTATTTAATTTAAATTATAACAAATTACAGCTTTTCTAATCTATTCTCTTATGCAAAATTTAAGATATCTTAATATCGTAAATTAATTGTTAATTTATAATGCATTCTATTTTTGTTTTACAGAAGGTTTATTTCATAGCAGGAATAATTCTGTATGTTTCTTAAGAATTTGATTTAATAATATGATTCATGAGGATAGCATGTTTTAAGTTTATTGATAAACAAATTTGCTTAATTAAGAAAGAAAATATTAATATTCGTTGATCATATCGATTCAATGATATATAATAAAATTATTTTTGTATAAATTTAGGCTTCTCGATATTGTTATTATTTATTTTCCTATTATTATGTTTCAGTAGTAAAATTTAATTTGATATATCTTATTTCATGGATATCAAAAATAAATCACCTAAACCTATTTCAACTATTTTATAGAATAAATTATTAAAATAATTGGCTTTTTAATTAATGGGAGATAATTATTTTAAAGGAAATAAAATAATATGCAGGTTAAATTAATTAAGTTCTACTCTCAATATTATTATTAAATTAAATATCAAAATAAATATATTTATAAAAGTTATGATAATTCTTTTCATTATAATCTCTACAATTCATCAAACTGTGATTTATGAGTTTAATGCTATTTCTAACATTATAGATAATGGTAATCAAATAATTTAGATATATGTATTAGAATGGCAAAATAATTAGAACTTTGCTCAAATCCAGACTTGCGGAGGGATCCAATATTATGGGGCATCTGGTTATAGTTACATTAGCAGGATCTTTTTAAATCTAGAACCTCACTCTCATTTTATTATAGATGCTCAATTTCTAAGGTATTTATTTTTTCTTAATTACAAAAGTATTGATTCAAATTATCAAACATTTATTTAGTTAGACTCTTGGACATAAAATTCCGACCCTTTGATATCACCTTAAGGTTCAATATGTAATGACGTCTAAATTGAAAATATCAGAAGTTATTCTATAACTTATAAACACAACAGAGGAAGCTTTTGGATTTATTTCCGATCGCATAATGGAGGATTAATGTCATTAAAATTAACTATGATTAAATGTTAGTATGAATCTGCTGCATGCATAGACAATTATCATATAATTGGTTTAAAATGGAAAGCTCACTAATATTCATTAAATGGGAAAGATGTTACATAATCAGAAGGGTGGACTTTTTAATTAAATTATTGGACTAACTTTTATTGTGGAAATTGCAAATTTTTGAAATTTTTGAAAGTTAAATATTAAACTGAACTACCACCTCATCAAGATGTATTAATAAGGTTTTTAAAAAGTGGTTATCAGACTACAATAGAAGTGGATTACTAATATGATAAATAAACTTTTAGTAATTGTTATTACATAGAAATATTAATTAGAAATTATCGCAATCCTATATTGTAACTGGTTCTTCAATCCCCAATTAATTTAGAATATAACTAAATAAGAGATTTTGAAGTATTTTATACTGAGCTAGAAATAAAATTTAAGAATTTGAATGAAGGTTGTTTAGAATAGATAAATGATAATTGTTTGATTTGCCAAGAAGGTTGGACTTCAGAAGAATTTCTAGAAAAATGTCACCCAATTTGTGGAGATGGAATTATCCAAGGTTAAGAAGAATGTGATAATCTAATATCTAATCATTCTTGTTAACAATGTAAATATTCTTGCATTGAAAATTGCTAAATTTGTTAATTTGGAATTTGTCTATCATGCGTAGAGGGATTTGTAATCAATGCAAATTTGAATTGTGATCCTTTGTGTGGGGATGGCAATTTGATTCCATATACAGTTGAAGAATGTGAGCTGACAGTTAATGGTGTATGGGATGGTTGTTAGGATTGCAGATCTATTCCAATTGCTAATTGTAAAACTAACCATTTGTCATTTTGCTTAGAATGGGAATTAGGATTTTACATGTTAGAAAACGTTTGTTCTCCTTATTGTGGAGACAGATTAATTCTATAATAATATGAGGATTGCGATGACGGAAATTTTCAACCTTATGATGGTTGTTATTAATGCAAGTTTCAATGCATTGAAGATTGCAATATATGTGATCGAGGATAATGCACTTTAAAGTGCGAAGATGGATACAAGTTTGCTAATAATGATTGTCTCTCAGTTTGTGGAGATTAAATTGTCACAAAAGAAGAAGAGTGTGATGATGGTAATACGATAAAATTTGATGGTTGTTTTTTGTGCAAGTATTCTTGTCCAGAAAATTGCTATGATTGTTATCAAGGTACTTGTTTAGAGTGCTATGATCAATACTAATTACTAAATTCAAATTAGTGCTAAAAATAATTGCATTGTGGAGATGGATAACTTTAGGAATAAGAGGAATGTGATGATGGTAATACTAATGCATTTGATGGATGCAAAGGTTGTTTAATTGAATAGAATTGGGTATGTATCACAATGACAAAAAATTCCCCTAGTTAATGCGCATTTGTCAAAGCTCCAAGCTTTTTTATTAATTATCTAAATATGACATCAAATAAATAATATATAAGCATCCAATTTAATTAATAAGTAAAAATATATACTGCTTAACCCTTATCAGAAACGTTAAATTTTGAATTATTAGATATAGACAAGAAACAATGGAATTGCAGCTTATTTATAATATAGGATGTTGGATCTTATTTGAGTTTTGGAGAATACATTGTTGAAATAGAAGTTTACTAATTACTCAAGTTTCGACCCATTTTGAAAATATTAGTAAATCAGAAAGTAGCTAACGCAGATAATGCTGTTTTGGATGATTTTGAAAAATAAATAACATTGTAATATCCAAATTATATCAATGATATGCAGAAAGATTATTCATATAGTTTGAAAAGTCTTAATCTACATTTAATTTATATTTTATCTGGGATTACTATTATCAGTTTATTATTCGGAAGTGCAGATTTATTTGTTGAGATTTTGGCAATCCTTTAATTTTAGCAATACTTAAGATACATCAATTTACAATTCCCTGAAAATTTAGATATTTATTTTTCTCTGAATAATCTGATAACTGTTTAACCTCTTTTGGAATTTGTGTATTTTCCACAATTTTTATAGTTGATTGACATTGAGGCGGATTAAGAATATTCTGATGGAAAATTTATTGTTTACAAACAAAACTCAAGCTTGATCATCAATCTTTCGTGCCAAATATTTTAAAGCATAATATTTTTATTTGTTATTTTGTTTCATCATTGGATTAAAAGAGTACTGTATAAATGGATATTTTGTTCTAGGTACTTTTACTACATGTCATCGCTATCATTATATATAAATCGAAAAATTATTTTTAAAATTAGTTAAATATGTTATAATTTTGGCCTTGATTTACTAAATTTGGAGAAATTTCTGTCTTATTAAGGACTATAAAAAGTGTTGCTCCTTAATGGTTGGGATATGATATTTAAAACACTATTATATACACGAAACATCCAAACCAAAAATTACTTAGATATTTTACAACTCTTTATGGTAAGTATATTACTACTACTTTATTTTAATATATTACTAAATTTTTTCAAATGTAATTCTTAATTATCAAAAGTGACAAAAAATCAAAGGTTTGAAATTCTTAGCTTTGCCAGATAATTTTTCTTTTTAATAACTTTGATCTATACTTAGCACTGGCAAATCCTTTAGTTAGGGTTACTTCTCTTAACAAGCCTATTATAAACTACATTTCTTTATAATTATCATCGTACCTTTAATAAAAAGAATTACATCGTATCTATGGTGGTTGAGATATCAGTAATCACTTTTATGCTTAGTTCATTTTCCTACATCTAGGAGTTTAATGATTATTTTTTTTAAGAGTAAAAGATTGTATTGGGATGGATTCAAGCAATCATCCTATCTGCAGGAATTATTATAGAATTAATTTCAATCCTTATAGGATTAAAATCAAAATTTTAATTAATGTTCAAAGAAAAACAACCAGTTGCTAAGAATCCATTATTTATTTGAATAATCTGAAATGATGAATTAAATCAAAATTGAAAGAATTTAAAAGATAATAAATATTTGAAATTAAATATTGAATTTAAGTTTACACCTAATTAAAATATAATAAAAATAAAAAGAAATTGATTTAATATTTACCTTCCTTTAAAATTACAAGTTCTTCTGTTATTTTAATTCTCTAATGAGGATCTAATATTGGAATATTCCCATCAATAAATGTGAAGAGATCCAAGATCCAAGCTTTTTCAATTATTTTTTGTAAGCTCAATAGTATTAGCCTTAAACTGCTTTAGTATAAAATATTACCCTTAAAAGGAATAAGTATACAAATTCTCTATTTTAGATAAATAGCAAAAATACCGTTAGAAAGATATCAGATATCAACTAGCATAATTAAAATAAGAGAGCTTGGAAATGAAAATGAGAAGCTTATTTTCATTCTTAATTAGATATAAAAAGGAATCTAGGTTTGGACAATTTTTGATTTGTATCAACAAAATTCAAAACGTTAATGAATGCTGGTTGTTTTGTTTAAGTACAAAAATGAATTATAGTTTTTTTCAATTTTTTTTATTTAGCTATTCATAATATCATCATAGTAATATTTTATTTTTGATATTTTGAAATCCTAGAAATCAACATTCATTCAACTTATAAAAATACAAATTATATCTGATTCGAACCCATTTATGCTTATTTAAACGTAAGTAATTTTATATAAACCTAATTTGTAGTTAATAATTAATATTAATCCAATAAGCATCTCTCTAATTATCAAACAATATTTATTCAACTTTTTTTTAATTTGAAATTGAAACTTATTACCCATAAAACAAATAAATTTAATAAATTTTCAATTATAATACTTTTATTTTTATAATCAAATTTTTAATTACTTTTAAATTTTTGATTTCATTAACCTATTTAATAATTTGTTATTCAAAGATGTCATCACTCTCAGTTGATAATTGCAATAAAATCATAATTAACATCAATCAAATGTAGAAAATCTTATCTTTGCTTACAACAGCATTATTATTGAGTGGTTTAGCATTTTACTCATAAAATGAGGAATCTCACTCCTTTAAAATTTGGTAGAAGAAATATAACAAGTTCTATTCTTCAAGCGAAGAAGCATACCGATAGATAATATTCAATCAAAATGTTGAATTAATCAATAAACATAACTCAAATCCCAACAAAAGTTATAGCATGGCAATCAATTAATTTGTTGATTTAACTAAGGAAGAATTCTAATCTATGTATTTGGGAAAATCAACTTTTGTTAAAATTGATAATATTGAATTAAGCTCTCGAAATAACTTAGGAGAAGTCGATTGGTCTAGAAAAATGTTTCCAATCAAAGATTAAGGTAATTGTGGATCATTTTGGGCTTTCTCTGCTATAGGTGCAATTGAGGTTTCTTGATCGTAAGAAAAGGCTTAAAATGGGAATTGGCTGAATAATAATTAGTAGATTGTGCTTATTATGCAGGAGATGGATGCTATGGAGGTGATGCAGCCTTGGCATCAGATTATATTGCTGAAGTTGGTTCTGTTTATGAAATGGATTATGAATATGTAAATCATATCAAATATATTAAAAGAAATCAAGATCAGGTATTTGCAAGGTTAGAAGAGAAGGTGAGGTTAAAATTTCAGGAAGAGTAAGCTATGTTCCAAATGAAGATTCTATCAAGAAGGGAATTTAAAATTATCCATTATCTGTGAGTGTTGATGCCACTGATTGGAGTTTCTATAGCAAAGGAATATTTGATGGAAATTGTAAAGAAAATTACAATAATCATGCTACTGTTGCTGTTGGATTTGACAATGCCGGAAACTGGAAGATAAGAAATTCATGGGGAGAAGGTTGGGGAGATCAAGGTTACATTTGGTTGAGACCAGGTAATTCTTGTGGTGTAATGACCAGAGTTGATGGTGCCATTTGATAATTATAAACATTATCAATTAAACAATAAATACTAATTTTGTTATTAATTTAATAAAAATCCCTTATGAAATCGAATTAATAGCCATAATTAGAAAATGATATAACTAGACCTAGTTATAATTATGCTTATTTCAAATCATATTCTCTTCTATGCATAAAAGGCTGTTTAAGTAGGATGAATTCCAAATTGATAACTATTCTGCGGTTGTCTAATCATCAACACATGATATATCGTTACCATTACTTGTTACAAAAAGGAATTGAAGGAAGCCATAATACAATCTTCGGTTGGTTTATTCAGCCTACTATTTTAATCAAAAATCTGTGTATTTATGTTCAGATACTTTAGCGTGCACAAGGTAGTTTCAAATAATTCGGTAATCAATAGTTATTTAAAGTTCAAAGTATTTATTATAAAAGTAGAACAATGGACGCTACTAACAATTAGCATTTAATGATAGATAAAATTCAGTTACTCAAGCCGCTCATTTAGTTATTTAGTGAGTAGCAAGCAGCCTTTAGTAATTGATACTGACAACGCGAACATACTGAGGACAATTATGCAAATTGTTAAATCTTCTCAACATTTATTGTATCTGAAAAAAATAAGCATTAAAAAATCAGTACATTCTGTTAATGCGGCTTGCTTTACAACCAGTTCTGAAAGCACTATCTAAGTATACATGAATCTTATCCATACAAAAATATATTTGCAAATAAATTATTTTTTTCAGGACTAACATTTAGACAGTAATCAAGAAACTTGCTGAATATTATAGGAGTATTGATGACTGCTATATTCTATTCTGGCGATTGTTCGCTGTTGCTCATCTATAGTAGCTCCTATTATTTGTTCTTTGTCTGGCAGGTTAAAGAAGATTACAATCTTGCTAAAGTTTATCCTAAATGAAGTAAATTGTGGCATTCAAAAAATTTCTATCAGAATTTTATCAGGTAAATTCAAATTTAATATAATAAACTTACTCAGCACAATTTAAGATAAAATCCACATTTATAGTTAATGGTGTACAAATCATTATTTCTTAAAAAGGATAAATATTGAGGAAAATTACATCCTCGATGACAAGTTGCCTTTAAGTAGAAAGTTTATCAATCATCAAGGAAGAACTGAAATAGAGAATTAAGAAATTCATACAGCAGAATGATTAAAATAGGTTTGAATTTGATAAACTAATTCAAGCTCTACAGAACAGAATTAACAAAATCTCTGCGATAAGGGTTACTCTGTCTTAACACATTAGACCACCCATAAATACAATTTGAAGCACAATTTTAAAAGCTTTGTTAATAATATTCACCTATGCATTGTTTGTAATAAGTATTGTAATTTTAGTATTTATGTACATTAAGATGGAATCCATCATCATAAGGTGAGGGTTTGGGGTTGGTAGTATAACTTTTTTTTAGTATTTGTAATTTTTTCGATAGAAAAAATTCTTTTAGAGAGAGAGAGAGAGAGTAAGTAATTTAGAGAATTATTTTTTCGTTTAGAAAAAAAATTGTCAAAATTCGTGAAAATCAGTAATTTTGAGAAAAAAAACATCTAAGACCTAGTTATTGTCTGGTTGGGGTTGTCCCAAA